TTGTTCTAGTCTCTTTTCGTACAGTGCGTGCAATTTCCCAAAGGACAATATTTTCTATGCGCGAGCATAAACTCTTAAATTGCCTCGTGGGCTCCGCCTGAACCGCGAGCTAACTTTTTTATCTTCGTTTCGAAATGGAAAATTTTCCAAAATCGTTTCCCAACGTCATAAAAAAAAGAAACAAACTTATACCAGACAACACCGATTAAACGGAACGTTTATTGAATTGTAAAATCTATGGAAAAAAATATTATGTCCCGTCCAGAGTTATTTACAATCACGAGATCTACTCGTAAAAAAAACAATCGCAGATTCTCTGATAAATCAGAATTGCGAAGTTGCAAAGTCCAACGCGAGTGCGAACTGTGAGAATTTCCTTTTTCTACAATAATCATCTTTGCAAAAAGAAAAAATAAATTCATAGAAAATCGAAAAAAATTAAAAAAAAAAACCTCTCATACGTGTTGTCGCCCGCGCGAACGAACTATCGATGCGCTTTTCCGGTGGAAACCGATGTGGATTGCGCTGTGCAAGCTCGAAATCTGGAAAAGGTCAGGCGTCGCGCAACGAACGCGTTCTCTCGCATGTAGGCGGCACACGGGTAAACCCTTCCGCTCCTATGAGCAGAGTCGAATAGCGCGGTTGTGCCAGGAATGCCGAGTGGGAAGTTTTGCGGCGACCACCTATATTCCTGAATACGGAATAACCCCGGGGGGGTAAGATCTCCCCTTGATCTCCCGGAATTTCGAATTCCCCAAGGGATTCTGCCGTTCCCCGGAATTCCCGCGAAAGTTCATCTCGCTAAACATCGTGTAAGGAAGCGAGAGAGCGCCTTCTGGCGCTAAGCAAGCAACGACTTGGCAATAAAAGCAGCTCCTCCAGCGCTTAAGAGACGCGTCGCAAGAAAGAAGTTTGGAATCTTAATTGCTCGGCAACAAAAATCGTACATTTGCAGCGAGATAAAAATGGTAACGCAGTGTTTTCCGGTAATGAACAGCGATTTAAAGCGTGTGAGCGTGTGTGTGTGTGTGTAGCGCGGCCACAGCTGTAAAAGTTCGCCAATTGTAATCGCGCGATTGCACTTTCGAACGTTATCGGCAACCAAGTCTGGTTTTGCAATTTACGAGAATAATTGCATTGTACCGTAGTGTAACAATGTGAAATAAAAAATGATCGAGCGATGAAAACTTTTTGCTGATAATGATGAAAACAATATAACTAGTATCGGTGTGTGTGTGCGCGCATGTGTGTGTGCGCGCATGCGCACAATGTGACGCAACCGATCGCATTCTTTAAAGAACAAGCGCGACCGCTATATCTCTCGCTCATTCCGTTACACACGCAAATAGCTTGTGACGTAATCGCTAAAGAACGCGGAGAACCTTCTCGATGACGTAGAACTTTTTCAAACCCGTTCGGAAGGGACGGGGAAGAAGAGCGAAAAGGCAAAAGAGAGAGAGAGAGAGAGAGAGAGAGGACACGAAACATGTCTCGTCACGAATCTTCGACCGTCTAATAAACATGGTAAAATGTGTGAAACAGACACGGCGGACCATCGAGCGCAAAAACGCCATCCTCGAACGAAACTTCTGAAAACCACTGTCGGGTACGCGACACGGAAATAATGGAGGTCCCAAATGCGGGAGCGCGCAATATCAGCTTGATTACGTTACAAATCAGAAACTGCGACTAAACCGATCTCCGGAGGTGGCGAACGTCGAGATTGCAACCGACGCGAATTAATTTTCACGGCGCGCAAGTTTCGCGCGACAGCAAAGTTTCCTCCCGCGTTTCTGCAAACGGATCGTCTTCCGCGCAATTATGGGGGAAGAGCGGAAGGGGTGCAGATGTAATTCCCACGCGCGAAAAAGATAATGTCTCGACTTTTGCCGCGAAAGAGAGAGAGCGCTATTCTCCGGAGCGGCAAAGAGCGTCACGTCTCGCGCGTACGGTATAACGCTCCGAGATGAAGATGGCAGCAACGTGTCCCGCTTGAAAATATCTCGCGAACTAAGTTTTGCCGTATATGAGTACGGAAGGCGGGAGGAGGAGGGGACCGGTCTCTCGAGTAAGAGATGATTCACCGAGGAATTGAAAAGTTCGCAAAAAGAACACCGACCCTTTGTCCTTGGGATATGCGCGGCTCGCGGGGACAATGAGATGGCTCGGCCCATTCGTCCTAACTCTATCTTCGTATTATGGACACAATGCACCGGTCCAAAGCGGCTTTTTATTCAAACCAGCGATTTCTTTCTCTCTCTCTCTCTCTCTCTCTCTCTCTCTTTCTCTTTCTCTCGTTCTGTTTGTCATTCGGAGTATAAGCATTACGTGAGAAACGAGACTTATCGCGCAACATATCTTTTTCCTCTTCTCTTTATCGAAGTTTTCATTAATCGGAAAGTTCGATTCTCTCGGTGAAGCTACGAAAGTCGCGTCTCTCGTGCGAGAGGCAGCGAAAAATCGGTGATAATTAAATTCGATAAGAAAAGCCGTCGCGCGACGTCCTCGGAAGGTCTTACCGTTCTTCCGGAAGAGAAATAACGCGCTTCACAGTATATCGTACAAGACGTGTACCGTATCTCACGTCGTGTATATTACTCGGCAACGATTTCCGTGCTCCGAACGAAGGCATATTCGCGTTCTTATCATCGCAAAACCGTTGTGTACGAAAGCTGCTTGCGCACACGCGTGAAGCAGCAACTTCTTCCCGAAACCGAGGTCTTACATATATACACACACATACATACGCGGGACGAGATACTCTAAATAAAATATATACGCGACTTACACGTAGGCGAGAGAAATTTTTACACGCGCGAAACACACTTAAGGATGCGCTCGCCCACGGTTGAACGACGCGGCGCGACTCGCGACCGCTATGCGACATTACGAAACGATGTTTTTCCTCTCTCGTGAAGAACGAGAATTGCGAACGTCGAAACCTGAAAAGAATTATCGCGCATTAACCGACGATTTTACGATCGACGATAAATCGAATTCTCGTTCGCATATCGTTGATGGTTAACGGTATAAAAGCACCCGCTGTAAATTACACCCGTGAACATCCGGCCTGCGTGATCATGATTGGGCTGCGGGTGCAGGAAACCTCGTGCGAGCATCAGGAGAGCTTTCTTTATACTCGTCCCTGTAACCGTAAATAGTACGGTGACGAGCGAGTGCGAGTGCGCGCGCGCGCGCGCGCGCAAACGCACCGACATATAGCTATCGTTCAGCACGGCGGTGATCGCTGATTGCAACTTCCGTCGAGGGCCATTCACATCGCGTCGCGGACATAAGGGAAAAAGAGAAGGAAGAGGGGGAGAAAAAGAGAGAAAGAACAAGAGAGAGAGAAGTTTCGCAATCGTCTCGTAACGATCGCGCGGTTGCGCATTAACTCTTTGCAATCCGAATTATTTTTTTGTTATTTCGTTTCTGAAACTGGTCCGAATTCGATATATTGTGAAATTGAATCCGGCTTATACGACGGGATTGAATCAGAAACAGATACATGTCGAGTCTCTAAAGCTTTAAGAAATTGAAGAGTTAACTCTCTCTATATTGCGTGTGATCAATGCGCACGAGAAAAGTTTGAGGAAAAAAGACGGGACACGCGTATCTGCAAATATTTCCACTCGAAATAAATGATAAGTCGTTTATATCTCATGTATTTGATATAAAATTGCAACAATACGATTGAATTTTAAATCAACTTTCTTCCGGAATAAGATTATCATACAGTTATTTCTCTCTAAGTACTTTTACGAGCGTATCTGTTTATGTATTTTTTCGAAAGTAACGGTAAGTAAAAGCCTGTTGTCAGCGTGTCCGTCACTAAACTGACAACAGAAACATTAACAGCACAAGCTTCGAACGTTAAAACCCAACAATCAGATGACGCATAGCGCGTGAGGCCTGTTAGGCCTTAAGGGCTGTGAGAAAATTCACGAGAAAAATTATTATCACAAGAGAGATGATTCATGTGTTTTGCCCGTGATTCGTTCGAGGATCGGCGGCGTTCGTATGTGTATAGCTCGAAAATTCGCAGAAATAATTACGTCGCGTACATTTTATTTTCTTTCCGCATGTTACTTGGAGCGCATCAAAGAAAAAAAAAGGGCTGATGAACTCGTTCCTCGCGTGGTAAACAGTGAGAAAAAAAAAATTCAACAACATTTCGGAAGGATGTCGTCCGATCTCGTAGGTATATCTGAACCCGAGAAAAACACTTGTATCAATAAACACGGCACGCGCGAGATATTCGATATGTATATCTATTTGTCGTGCAAAGAAATAATTATCTTTATCAAAACAGCGAAAGAGATTAAGAGATAAGAATAATTTATCCGTAAACATCTTCATTACTCGAGAATCGGCAAATTTGCTTTTTCATATTTCTTACTTTATATAATATCACAATTTACTTTCAACTGCAAAACATCGCGATTTACTTCCGAATCTCCCTGGATGCTACGTTACGCGCATTATTGCACTCTCGTGTTTTATAGCACAAATGTTCAATAAACATTTCAATAATAATACATAAATTTTCATAACAGGTCGTAGGTACTCGGACGATTTTTTTAGCGCGTTGTGTGCGATTATTATTCGGATGAATGAAAGCGCGCAAACCGCGATGTATTTCACGATGTTCGCAGTTTTTCTCTCTGAGCGCGTATATTCTCCGCGGCTCAAGAGCGTAAGTGAAAGAGCTCCGAAAAGCGCGTGTACAGAAAAAACGCACCGCACAGAGAGAGAAAGAGAGAGAGAGAGAGAGAGAAGACGTACGTCACTCCATATACGTCTACGTGTACTTCCAACTCGCTTTTGTACGTTCTCTCTCCTCTCTCTGTGTAATCGCACATACATCGCGCACGCATACGGTTAAATCACGTCCTGTCCGCTACACGCAAGGTCTCTGTCACACGAAACAACAGGAAACGTCGGATGTGTCAAAAAATAAAATATCGGACGACCTCGATCGTCACTTTGGGGACACTTACCGCTCTCGATGTAGGGAACTACCAACAGCAGCAGCATGCAGCAAACGTATCCGCACGTGTCACTGATCATCGTAATACTATATATATTCCCCGCAACAGTCAGGGCACGCCGCTGGCTATCCGGGCACCACCGAGTTACTCGCAAGTGAATTCGCGGGCGAAAACAGAACACAAATAAACAAACGGCGAGGCGGCGTGGCGCGGTTTCGCGCTAGCAACAGGGTTGCGACGAACGCGACGAAGATGAAAGAACGCGACGCGCGCTTTTTCTTCTCTATCTACAATCTCACTATCTTCTCTTTTCCCACTTGTTTTTTTCTCTCCCGTGTCTTCCGCGGAGCAGAGCACTGTGCACACAAAAATTCACCGCGCGCGATGTCTCAATTATCTCTCGAACGACGCCGAATCACGAAGATGACGGTTTATTTCGCGCGTCGATTATTACACGTCGTTGCTTCGCGACAACGATAACCGAGAACGAGAGATGACGATGATGACGGAGGAGACAACGGAGGAGGACGCGATCGGCTGCGCTCGGACGCGACTATTACCACACGGACGAATATGATGAATGGCGCGCGTGTGTCTCTTTTCTCTTTTGTTTTTCTTCCTCTCTGTTTTCTCAATCTGCTTTCCCACTCGATAACGTCGTTTTCCGGAGCACAGAGAGGTCTACGCCATCATCGTTTTTCCGTCGAGATCGCGCTCGACGACACGCGGACGCTGCACGACCATCGACGAGACTAACACGCATACACACATACACACACCGCGGCTTCGTTCCGCCCCTCGTTCGTCTCGCGACTAACTTCGGCGGGCTCGCTCTCGCTTCGTCCGTTCTGTTTCACCTCTCCGCCGCCTCGCTCTTTCCCACCGCTTCGCGGGCGCGTTTCCGCTCTTCGTGCGGGATGACAGTTCGTGCTCGCTTCCGAACAGCTGACGAGACCCGCTGTTGTCCGGTTCTTTTTTCTTTTTTTCTTCACGCACAGCGCGGCGACGACGACGACGGCGGCGACGACGGCGATGACGACGACGACGACGGCGACGGCGACGACGACGGCGACGACCACTCGATATTTAGCAGACGCATCGCAGCGGCAACAAAACACGCACACACACTCCTAAGACGAGCGCACAGACACTACTGACACTAGTCGCCACTGTCGCCACTGACACAGTCCTGCCACCGCGAGGATGCTACACTTCCCTGGTCGTGACGTGTGTGCGCGAACACAGAATCCAGGATCACTTCACTGTCTCCGGGCGCTCCAGTAATGGCGCCGTCAGATGGCAACGTCTGCCGCTCGGAGCGGCCGCCATCTTGCGCTGCCCGTGACGTCACGCGCAGACGCGTAGCAGCGTCGTTGTGTTCAATTTTCCGCGTAAATTCTTCTTCTCTTTTTTTACGTACATATATATAATGTAAAATATAAAAAAATTGTTATTTTGATTTTTGATATTCGCGCAAATATTATCTATTCAATTGTAATATCATATTGGATTTAAAGATAAAAAATGTAAGATAGATACGGCAATGTTTTTACAACACGTACAATTATAAAATTAACAAAATAAAAATTTTTTAGTACACGCATATGCAACGAGAAAGTCCCAAGACCTGTATGCCAATTAAAAATTCTTTATAATGTCAAAAATTTCTGTAATATTTAAAATTTGAACTAAACATTCTTTCAATATTTTATTAATGAAAATTGTATTGATAAATACGTGTACATATAATAAAGTAACGTATATATATTTACATGGATACTATCCGCATGTATTTACAATAATTTACGTGGTTACACAATAATTCGATAAATTGCGATGATATTGGGTATTTTATGAGTTTGTTTAACATGCTTTTAACCTCAACTAAAGCTTTGGAGCACTATCTTTATCACATATTTAATGGTTTAATAGAATTCAGTTAGTTCAACAATTTCACGAGGGAACTGAAAATTTATTTAAAAGCCGTTTAAATATTTGAGAACAAAGGAGAAGAACAATACAACTACACAATAAGAGAAAGAGAATTATATCACGTCTTTAAACATCAAACTAAAATATATCTGATGAAATATATATTTAATTTGCGAGTCAGCTCTCATATTTTTTGTAATACATGTTAAAAGCGTTTTTCTTTCTCAGCGACTACTTTTTTAACAATGTATGAAAGCGCTGACAGTTCTGGATAAAACACAAAATTTTGCTAATGGATGAGATATTTTAATATGATAAAATGAGAACAAAACCACTTTTGTATCAGCAGTGAAGAAACGTACGACGTGGCGTACAGAATAACGAAAAGTATAAAAGCTATATTTGTTTACGTAATTCCATTTTTTTGCTTTCCATTTAGAATTAGAATGTTGTTCGTTTTTAATATAACCTCCTTTACATATATTATTACGATCCGAAAGCTCGCTAAAAGCTAAAACATGCTTAAAATGAAATATATTGTTATCTCTCTTCCTCGATAGATCAGACGAGACTTCGACGAAATAAATTTGCGCTGCTCGCAAAATAATGCAGTAACGCTCCCCGTTACCGAATCTACTACGTATTTTAACAGCAAAAACCGAATATCGTGGGTTATCAATCCTTAACGAATGGAACGTAAAAACCTACAGTTGGATAAAAATGCGTCCGACAGCGAATTCGGATGAATCTGTAACGGCACATCGATCCGCTCACGTCGGTCGGTACGCCGACCATCTATCACGACGTCCTAAGGAACAAATATCTGGCTCGAAAAATGCACAAACGGAATACGAAACGCATTTATCGCATAATATTGCGCATTCCTCAATATATGGACCCGGCAGTAAGCGCTGTACACATATTCAACTCCGAATTCAACACTGAAAAATAACTCCATTTCCTTGGCGCTTTTACTTTGCTTCCGCGTTTTCTCAATATATACGCGCGAGTGCTGGTTTTCTTTCCGTGTGTGTGTGTGTGTGTGTGTGTGTGTGTGTGTGTTGCTAAAAATTAAAATAAATTGAATTTTAATACGTTGCGAGCGATATGAAACAACAGCTTCAGAGAGAAAGAATGTGAACGAAGTTAATATTCAAACTCGTTTATTCGTCGTTTGTGTTAAAATATTTCTGTTTTGCGTGAACGTTGTAATATCGTTATCGATCTCGCATTTATTGTTTTCGTCGCGATATTAAAATTGTCAAATTTCTTCGCAGCGACATCAAGTAACGCGGAAAGGCACGTTAACGGCACACCGACCGATCGGCAGAACGTAACGGGTGTTTCAGAAAATCCCGAGCGGAAGGATCAAGGGATCGATACGCGCGACGATCTATCGCCACAAAGATATTGGTCGTGCTGCGCCGTGCCGCGACTGTGGTGCGTCAAACTGTGCGCAAGAAAGAAGGAATATGCGGATCACGTTCTGAGTGAGCCTACGAAACGACTCTTCAAACGAATCAAGCGAAGCAAGAAGTGCGGAAAGCCCGATGAAACGACGACGATGGCGGTCGACGACAATGGCGTATCGATCGCGCCGCATCAAGAATCAATGAGTCTTCGAAGCGCCCGAGAGAAATCCATGAGAAGTCGTAAACGAGACGAAGAAGCGGAAGCGTTTGATAAGGACGTTCCCGAGGACGAGAGGAAGAAGAGAAAGGAGAGGAGGAAAAGAGAAAAGAAGGAAAAAGAGAGGAAGGAAAGAGAAAGGGAAGAACAACGGGCGAGACGCGAGGAGCAGATGTTGCAACCTGTGGACGTGCGCTTGATGACGCGTGACGAGGACCTCGGAAGACAGCAACATCCGCCTGTAACGGACTTCACAAAGAGCTGCTGTTACCTATGCGCCCAGAACACGCTGGCTATCGCGGCGGCCGCCACAAAGCCCGAGCAATCCGACAAGTGCGTCCAAGTTTCAGCCCATAAATTACGCGCGGAGATACCTCTGACGCTCGATAGGAGCTGCAGTCCGACGCTGCTGCTGATGCGCGCTGTGCAATCGTCTGTCAAGGTGAGGACGCGCGAGACCAGCACTCTGTGTCCTGACGTAGGCAATAAAGTGACGGAGAGGTCGGGGACGAGGAAGCGCAAAAAGTTCAGCTTGTTGCCGAGGTTGACGAGGACGAAGTGCCCGGCGGGACGACACGCTGTCTGCGAGACTGATAAAACGACGTTGGCCGAGCGCGATGATAACGTAGAAAAACTTGAGCCAAGGAGCAAGAGATGCTGCAGGGAGAAGACAGTTTGACATGCTTAAACTTTTTCGAAACTTAATTCGTGACCCTGATTCGTGCGAACATCGATGTCATTGAAATTTTTTATTTGCTTGGAAAAAAACGATGTCACATTTATTTTCGATTTTTAAACATTTACATTCGAAAGTTTAAAATGCCACTCTCTTTTATGAGATTTTTCTTTTTATCTCAAAATATCGAGGAAAAAATTGTTATATATGTTTTTTTATTTCTCTTTTGTTAGTTTTATGTACTTGTTCACTTTTACCACAGATTTGCGCAAATTGTTTGCCATCTATTGATGATAGATAAGATGTGATACAACATACACAAAACGCAGATATATACCATCAACGGAGAACTCGACTCGTATACTGTGTGAAGATAACTAGATGACACGCTTGTTCCATAAAATCTCTTTGAACGTACCCGGGTTTTATCTTTTGTCGGCAAACGCTGGGTTGTCGGTTCAAAATTGATCAGAGGAAGTCACTGTGAAAAACAATGTTCAATATTGTCTAATTTTTCACTTTTTTTCGTTATTTTAAAAATTAAGTAATATTCTCGTATTGTCTGCGATAACGGTATTCCACGTACGTACAAACGTGATCGATCTAAAGCATCACAATTTGAAGCGAATGTTTTTGTACGAACGTTCTTCTACTAATATTGTAAAATTGAATGTTTGTTTGTTTTTTTTTTTTTTTTTTACTAAAATGCAATTCTATTTGGATATGAAAAGAAAAACATCTCGCCAACAAATCCAGAGCTCATATCTATTTTTTTCATATAATTCTTCGTACATGTTGCATAAATCTATAAGTAATTATTGCATTTTATATACAGCACAAAGACAATTCAAACAGACAGATGATTTTTTTGTTCGGGAAAATCATACATCGCATATAATTATCGCTATCGTCCGAATACAAATCTGTATTAGAGAGAGCCAAGATCAAAAGTATACATTATCTCGATAAAGTCTGACAGGCATAACGTAAAACTTGTACATATATCAGGTCTTATATACAAAATACAAAAACAGAAACGCTCTCAAAAGTACATCACAAAAAAAGAGCCGCCATTTTTGTAACTTTCCTACGCCATCGATTGCGAATTTGTGGATGATTACAATTGTATGTATCTCTCGATACCCGTATAATAATGTAAAAAAAACAAGGAAGAAGGAACCAAACAATTTAAAAATTGCATGATAGTCAACGGAAGATCTTATTGCACTTTGCGGTCGCCCGGCCGATGATCGACCAAGTAGTTCGAGTCTATGTCGCGTCAGACCGTATCCGAGGACGATACGGCGGACCGAGTGGTCGGCAAGCTAGAGCTCGTATCGTCCGACAACGGACCGCCGAACATCAAAGGCGCCGCGTAATATGGCAGAAGCGGATACTGCGTGGTCGGGAAGTACGTCGGTGGAAAAAGACCCTGCCGCTGAGCGATTTTCAATCTCGACGTCAGTTGCTTCTTCCACTTCGTGCGTCGATTCTGAAACCACGTTTTAATCTGCACCTCTGTCAGATTCAGACACTTGGACAACTCCATTCGCTTGCTCACGCTGAGATACTTGTCGATCTGCGAATAAGAAAATATTCGATACTTTGTAGATTTGATCAAGAAAAGAAAATAAACGAAAAAGATTGATGTGATTGACCAATGTCGAACAAAAGAAAACAGCACAAAGTCTTACTTTGAATTCCGCCTCGAGTCTTTCCAATTGTTTCGCGCTGTAAGCCTGACGCGGTTTCCGATCGATACCCGGTTTTCGTGACCTTCTGCCACTCGGTTTGGGTGCTGTAAAAAATAATAAGTGATTTAGGTTTACTCTTTCACACTGTCGAAGAATGACGTCGTATCAAATAAGTATTGATTACATATGTAGATACATGCGATGTAGTGTAATCAGTTTTTTCAATATTTATTTAAGGTTGACTTTGACTTCTTGAAAAAAAAAAAAAAAAAAATCTTTCAATATCGTCGACAGTTTTTCTGACACCTCGTCTGTCTCGCGAGAAGATTTATTACCGCGTTAATCAAAATTTAATATTCTAATCGCGCTTCTTAATTGCTCGACTAACTTCACCGGCTCGGGCTCAATTACCACCTTCTTACGATTTCGAGGCGTTTCCATTTCCGACGAGAGACCTGTGTCTAGAATTACCGAACGTGTCTGAAACGTGTGGGATTGTTTGCGGAATGTGTGACATCTTACTTGTCAACATCATGGGAAGGCGAAGCGGCAACGAGTTGTGCAAACAGTTTATGACGGAGAACGTTTAGGATGCGATTATCATAGCGATGCAAAGCAATATATTACACATTCCTTTTGAAAAGCAGATATTAGATATTATACAACGTAGTAATTATAGTCGCGCCGAAACAATACGACGACGTTCGGTAACTATGTTGGTAAATATATTCGCGAGCACTTCACGCTTCTAACAGAAAAGTCACAGAAAAGCGATGTCTCGTGTGTCGGCAAGTTCCAAGATAATCTCTATTTTTTATTTATTCTAAAATAAATATCTAAGAGTTTAATAACAGTTTTTTGTTTTCGCGGTATTGTTTGTCCCACGAATTCTCTTGAAAACAGCACGGGAAAGTTTTCTCGCCTGACAAGAAACTCATTTTGAATTGCGATGTCTTTGCATAGAAATAGAAATTTTTTCGCTCTCTTCTCGTGTGTAGTCACGAGTTAGCTGAGCAGCCCTTATATGACGAGTCAACAAATAGATGTCACGTATTTGTACAAGACCTTTACGTTTTTACCGGACCCTTCCCGTCTTATGACTACGAGAAACGACAGTTTTTTTTTATCTTTGTCCGTGTGAAATTTGTCGATACATCTTAGAACGTAAATTTGATACAAGAAAATTAATATAAATTACATTTGATATAAGAAAATTATAATTTTTTTAATTTTTTCAAATAAAATATCTTAATCTTGTTCTTTTAATACACTTGTTTTTTTACTTGTTTGATTTTTAGATTTAATGCGATTATTTATCTGTTGAAAAAAAACGTATTTAACCTTCTTATATTTTACGTATCTAAAAATATTTCAGATTTCCAATGTTTAACGTTAGTTAAAACTCTTATGCATCCGAATAACAGAGTTTTGAAGGTTTACGCGCAGTTTCATAATACTTGCAAATTTTCAACTCAATAAGAAACTTAATAGTACGATGATACTCGGCAAATAATGTTCAAGCTTGTTTTCTTTAGTAATACGTGCGGCATATGTTTGTCTAATATTTTCCGGCAGTGAACAGACGCGGTGAAATACACAGCACGATGTTAAAAATAATACGATAAGTTTTCGTTCGATAAATTCGATTATAAAAATTTCAAACTTCGTATCATTATGCGAATTGGAGTATTTGTTTACATAAAATTGATACACGCAGGTTTGTCTATGAAACGATTAAGTTTCTTGGAAGTTAGAAGAGCGTTTGGTGATCAGAAAGAAGCATGCGTTTGGTGACGAAAAAGAAGAAGAAGAACCGGCGGGACTAAGATTTACGAGTGTACAGAGACATTTAACACCTTCGCGAAAGATAGTTAGACCAACGATGCTGATAAATGGGCTTCTAACAGCATGGCGGATAATAGCCGACGACGAAGAACAGCAATGGCGGATTTCAAATCTTATTTCGACGTCGCGAAGAAACTATTCAAACTGTTACATCTTTGATATACTTTGCAAAACACAGTAATTGTGATTAAATTTACGAAATCTAGAGACTTTGCAAATTCACATTCATTTTTTTATTATAATCACGAATAAAAGATTCAATTAAATTGCAATAATGTTGGAAGAATTTTCCGAATGGCAGAATGTATAGAAATTTTGTTACTTTGCGACATCAAAAATTCAGAAGAAGAAAAGTGAAATATTTTATTAAGTGTAACATTATCTGACTTGATCAATGTTCGAGTTTTTACACGGTTGATTGTATAAGTATTTAATATCTGGAAAAGTTCCAAAAACCGAGAGGGATGCAGCAACTGGGCCACTGATGTGTGCCTCGCGTGTCGAAAAGCTGTTACCGCAGACGCCTCGTATAATATCCAATATTCGTTGAAGCCGCGAGAAAGAGGGTGCCCCATCTTACACCTGCCTCTCTTTCTCTCTCTCTCTCTCTCTCTCGGCATTGTTCGCGAAAATGGAATTACAGCGGTAAGTTATTACGAGTGGATAATAATTAGAGTCCTTTGTCGTCGCGCGATTCTTCGGAAGAAACGTTCGTGCCACAGACAAAGAAAACTATTTTCTTACAGCTGTAACTATTTTTCGCTCGCACGCGTAATATTCGCACGTGGAATATTTTTCTATACGACTAACTACGAAGTATCGATGAATCGGAGACAAAAAACAGAGCGAAATCTAAACGCGATAATCCTGTTTGAGAGTGAATTTGAAATCATTTAAAATATAAAAGTTTGCTCGATTCAGAAACTGGTTTTTAAAACAATTGAGAACAGAAAAGGGTATTTTAATTTAAACATTTTGAAGTGAATAATAAATCTGATGTACATATTTACTGAATTTCTGTGTGCCTGTGACTGTGTATCCACAATTTGAAACATACCTTGCAAGCCAAACAGCTGTCCGGGTTTTGTCTGAGCAAACCAACTACTGTACAACAGTGAAGCTGATGCAAGTGATGTTGCAGAATACGCCGATGGATCGGGTAACGCGCCTTCAGGATACGGCAGTCCCGCGTGAACCGGATACAAACTTCCTTCAACATCTGTCACATCGAAGCTCTTTTTTAATTACAAAATTTCTTCGCACTTGACAATGATTTAATTACAAAAAATTTTTAATTGCTTGATTTTTTTCAATTATACTCTAAAATATTTGTAAAGCAAAATGCGCGTATGTATGCGTCTCACCGGTACGTGCGGCTGGTATCGCTGTTGGTCGGACGAAGTGACCCTCGATCCTGTCATCCGTCTCGTCCTGATCCTCTTCTTTGTCACCGAAACTGTCCGTTCTCAGTGTCTGATCTCTCTTCTCGTTTCTGCCGAGGATACTGTCGATGGTGAAAGCACTGGAGACGGCGATCGGGGACGAATTTCTTCTTTCGATTTGTTGTTTCTGATAGTCCCGGTAACCCTCGCAGCTGGAATCGGACGCGTACTCGGTCGATTCCCGATGAACGATCGGCGATCTGCCGCCTCGTTCGATATCGTTGTTGATAAAAGCCACCTCGTTTTCGCTCGGAAGCGATCTCGTCCTACGAAGATCGTAAACGGATGCGTCGTGCATGTTCTCGCGGCTCTGACAGAGTTCCATCTTGCGAAAGATCATTGATCTCCGTTATATCGTCGGATAATCCTGTGCGATTTCACTTTGCGATAACAATATTTGCTCGGAAGTTTCCAAATTTAAAACTCGCGCACAGTTCACAATCGCGCGTTTCGAATTTCACGATTTTGTCTTCGCAGCTAGCGTTTTGACCAAGTCGCAGACAAATTTGCGATTTCAATCGCGAGTGTGTCATCTGTGGAGAAGTAATCTTACATTCTTTAATCGGTGAAACATCTCTGTAGCGCGGCGAAAAGTATGTTTGTTATTACGAATCGAAGTGGCGCGCGTAAATCCCTTTGATCGATCGCACCTGGATCCCGTGCTAATCTCCCTTCGGAGCGTTCGAAAGCAAGTACTTCCGAAAGTATGACAAGTGGCACGTGTCTGTGGTCCAGAGAAGGACCTCCCAGCGTCCTCCCCACCAGCGCGTCCCACGGGAAGGTCATCCCGGTGGAAGAACATCACCTCAGAGAGAGAGTCTCCCCCACTCATCTCTCCGGTATCTCACCGATCGGAGTAGGGATCGCACTTTATTATACTTGATTTCCTATTTAAGAACTATTATATCGTTAGCTTTCGAATTTTATCACGTCTTCCGTGATATCTCGACCGTTTCTTCTTCGACGTAATTTACTTTAAAACTTCAAAGCGATGATTTATTAGGAACACAAAAGCATTTCTGCGTACGTACGTATGAACACGTAGTTAAAGATTAACTACAGAAACAATAGCATGTGTGTGTATGTATATATATGTGTGTGTGTGTGTGTAAAAGAATTATGATAATAGGAATAAGAGTTTTCAGAGATAATAAATAAAAATTTTTATTTATCTCATTAATTTGTTGGCTCGATTAAAACATCAAGATCACTTGCAAGCTTTATTACAATTTCGATAAGTATTTTTTTTTAGAAGAATTGAAAAAAATACAACATCTCGAGCAAGTAAAACGCACAAAATATTCCGCGTGTTTTACTTTGCTTTCTCGAGATGTCGTATTTTTTTTCTCATCAATAACGTTTCGACGAGGCGAATTTTGCAAATTCTCATACGACAGATCTATTTCGTACACTCCCATTTTATCGAGGCAATTCGCGCGCTTTATGCTTCTTTTTCGAAAAAAAGTGCTTGAGAAGTGTCCGACGATTCGGCTTGCGCACTAGCGAGAATGAAAAAGGGCTCATCCGGGGTTCAAAAGATGGTTCTCGGATTGGTTCGAAACGCGCACGTTGCTCGCGCAGCGGCCGCCTTCTTTGACCCCTCTATCTCGGAGCTTTATGTCGGTAAAACGATGGTCGCTTCTCTCTTTCCCGTTCGCGCTTTAGCGGATGGATAAACGCTTCTGCCACGCGAAAGAACATCGTGAAAAAGTACCGCAAAACACTTCTTCACGCGTTTAAGCGAACTACAGCTCAGTGGTTCTCACCGCAATTCGAAGAGAGACCTTGTTTTTTTATTGGGTCTCCGAATAATCACTGCATTCTTATCAACAATCTAGTAATTTGTGTCAGTGAAAGATAAGCGCGTTAATGTACGCGCACAATTACAACGCAAAAATTACGTTTACGTGAAAATTTGAACATCAACAACGTCTTCGTTCGATGATTCTCCCGTAAATTGAAGAATTTTACAACTCTTTTGTCTCAAATGCGCAAATTCTCTCGGCAATAAGCGTAAGAAGAATGATGGATGAGAGATGTAACTTCAAGATATACAGATACAAGAACAAAAGCGACCGGCACTCCGGGTATATCACTGTTTAGCATGATTTGAGATTCTCAGCTCTCATCATGTTGATGATAGCCCTTATCGAACCATATCGTGCTATTTCTGTTTACGGGCGTAGAATGGCGGCCATTTTCGCGGATGGCGCGTCCATTAGTCTCCCGAGCTACCTGTGCCAATCTCAATGTTCATCCTCGCACGGCGCCGTAAATCCACTCGGCTCCTCCGCGCTTCCGTGGCTAAAAGGACCAATGGCGATTGTAAGTTCGCGCGGCACCACGTCATCGATCCTCTCCCCGACCCGCGTCTGAGTTATTTCATCTTTCTGGAGAAAAGAGTGTACATCATTCTTTTCTATACGGCTTGGAAAGGCCTCTTCTAGGTTTTTTATTTTGTAAATAATATTATTAACCTCTTTTGGTAGTCTCTTCTCCGCTTGTGGACGCTCACCAATTGACATTGTCAAGGACACGTACTTATAATACGTTGCCAGATGCATTTAAACTAACATTGTTTGAACAAATTATTCAAGTAAAATTTTTGATTTCTTAAATATTAGATTTTTTTTAAACTATAACATGTCGAGAAAGCAAAGTAAAACACAGAACACAATTTTTCTAATAAAAATACGTATCGAAATATTGTAATAAAGTTATTATCACATCATTGGATTCTAACAATTGTCTATGGTGAATATTTTTAAACACCAGATCGCTCGCGCCTCGTGTCGCACACGCTTTTTCGCGTGTGTCGATTATATGCGCGCGGGGTTGAACATTTTACACGTACTTGCGACCGTGACAAATATTGAACCTTAAATATATGAGGTGAAATGCGCTTAAGGTGCGTCGTTAGGTGCGAACAGAGGAAGTAACGACGTGGTCAACGCACACGTTAATTTACGACCGAGGACATTACACTTCCTAGAAGTTCTGGCACATGTACATACAAACGGTTAAATATTTTTTCTCAATTTTCTGTAATAACCAAAGCGTCTTTTGACTTGATGCGCGGTAATCATTCAAACTGCAACTTTAAAATTTGCGATCAAACAAAAGCGCTTTATATTTTAATGAAACATTATTAACGCGCACGCTCACGGCAAATGACACGCAATTGTTAATTGCAATTTGTTTGCTTTAATACTTGTGCAAATTTTATCAACACAGCGACATTCGCAAATGTTTCGAATAAACGATCCATTTGCCCGCTGTGAAGTTTACCTTTGATGCACGCTGCGCTGGATAATTGAAACGATCAATCAAGCACCTGAGAAAAAGAGGGTGAACTCACGCGTGCACAAACCGCGCGCGGCACAGGTCGTTTTCACGCAAACGGAAAGTGCGCGATCACACCTCGACTGCGGGCGATTGAATATTGCTCGCTTTCCGTTTCGAAATACATGTAAGTTCTTGCAAAAATCCTTGATACAATAGCGAATAAAATTACACTTACTTTCCTTCTCTCACACACTTTTCTGGAAAGATAAAAATTTATTTATTTTTTTATAACAAATAAGAGAGCGTAAACAACTGTGAGCGAGGTTTTCGTGTGCTTTTATTCGATCTAGACGAGAGGGGAGGGAAAGCAAGAGAGAGAGAGAGAGAGAGAGAGAGAGAGATTTTCGCAGCTACGACGCCATTAATAATCGCGTGAGAAACGTTTATTTCAGTCGGAAGGACGCGAGGAATTCTTTCGAAACTGCGCGATTAATTTTCAGTAAGCTCGCAGCTATAACCGGCAGCTTTTGGTGTGTATGTATACAGATATAGCCCACTCGCGCGAGATATTAGACAGGTGAGCGAGTTCCCAGGGGAACAAAGGCCCCATTACCCTGTCTTACCACCTCGATCCGAACGGGCGTCCCGGCCAGACCCTCCTCGCTCTTCTGAAACATTCATAAGAGCATCGTAAGTGGTTTTTAATAAACGTATTTAATCATGAGTGTCGGATTACGCGCGTAAATCGGATGAACGCTATCACCCCCGGATCGTCCCGGGGAAATTAGTCGTGAATCTAAACAGATGTTTCTGCAGCTTACCCGCTTTTTGCGGGTGCGTACATATGCGGGTGTTTCCCTCTTTCGATTTTGACATCAATCTCTCCTCGCATCTTTTTTTTCTCCGACAACATTGTGGCGTAAGTACCGCGTAGTGTAAGAATAAATTTTTCCAGATTTTTTTTCCCCCACACGTAACCTAATTTTATCATTACGTTTGCTGCGCGTGTTGTAGTTTTTTTTTTTTTTTTGAACGTCAGAGTGTGGTCAATTGCTCAACAGCAATCGGGACTGTATGAATTCTATTAACTTTGCTATATAAGAAAATTTTTCACAAACTTGCGCGCATTCTTCTCGATGCGCCTGAAAACTGTAAATAAAACTGTAACAACGCGGCGTTACGGTGAAAGCAATTATTTCTAGCAGACAAACGGATTGTTACGCGAGCGCGTCGCATTCTCGTCAGTTCCAAGTGCCTTCGCGTTTCGGAAGCAACTCGCGTGTCCGAATGGCGTCAAAAAGATCATCGGGACGCGACTCGGCACGAACTTACTGTCACGCGACAACGCGTTTCTTCGCGATCGCTGCGATAATTCGCGCGATATCGGCGCAGGAGTGTTTCGACGACGGAAACGAATTTTGCATCGATCGGAACGACATACTTTCTGTCGATCTTCTACCGGGATCGCTTCTATTCAGCGACCAAAATGTTTCACGGACGGTTTCGGTGAACAAAGTCGCGGACGGGTCCTTCGATAAGGCGTTAAACGAAATGGACTATCACAGGTATCAAAATTGATACTAGGGATTTTCAATTAGCCAAAACAACTAAATAAATGTGGAGTCGATACTAAATCAAAGTCGGTGAATGTCACTTAGGAAACGAATGAACGAGTATCTCTGTCACGGCTACATAGCGGAGGAAATTTTTAAAGAAGTTAGCACTCCCAGAGTGAAACGGCGCCCCGAATCTGCGCCGAACGTCAACTCGCATAATTTCTTAGGCGATGACAATGTGACGATTCACGATAAACTACTGGCGGACGAGGGAAGCACGAAGTACAAGAACTGGCTGCAACGGTGACGACACTCAGAAATTATAAATGTTTACAACAAAAGTTTTTTACATTCCGAAAAACGGAAAACAAAAGTTTTGCTATTATATGATCAGCGAAAAAACTTTGAGAAGTTCACTGAATTTTTTGTTTCATCGCCAAAACGTTACTTGGCAAAACAATAAAGTCAATAAGAGTATAGCTAATTTTTTTGCTTGTCATATAATAACTAATCTTCTCTCTAATCTAGTAAATATTTGTTTCCGTGAAAATATTGGAACTTAGTTATTTTTTATCAAGAATTTTAACTCACATTATTCAAGAACTCAAATTGATATTCAAATTTAATAAACTCTTCTTTAACATTCTGCTTATTTTTTTTTTTTTTTTAATTATATTTACAATTGTTATAAATATTTTACGAAATGCACTTTATCCTACATTAAAAAAGGCATGTGTATTAAGAAGTGCGCGTTAACGTGACTGTAATTTATATTATATATAATATTAAATAATACATATTATACATATAATTTATTATATATTTATAATATTATACTTTATATTGTATTATATGTATTATATACATACTACAGTAATGTCACTGACATCCGCCGCGCGACTTTGGCAGGGTCACTGACCTCGGCCGCGCGGCCTTGGCGGGGTTATTGACCTCGGCCGCGCGGCCTTGGCGGGGCATTGACCTCGGCCGCGCGGCCTTGGTGGAGGGGAGTCACTGACCTTGGCCGCGCGGCCTTGGCGGGGCACTGACCTCGGTCGCGCGACTTTGGCGGGGTCACTGACTTTGGTCACGTGATTACGGTATATATATATATGTGTGTGTGTGTGTGTGTGTGTGTATTATATATAGATATAGAATATTATATATGATATATATAATATTCTTGTTTTTATTCTTTTCCTTGTCACGTGACTTTAGTCATATAGTGTTTCTCTACTTCTCCTTGTTACGTGTTGTTTTTTCACTCTTCCCTTTTTTTAGTTTTTGAGTTTGATTTTCATGTTATTTCTGATATCTCTTATTTGTACTTCATGTGTATTATATGGTTTGTAAGACGTATATATTAGCTGTCATCATATTTTATCGCGATGACATGTTGTGTTTACTGACACAACACGTTAAAATAAAAACAATAACAGCGTGCGCATAGCGCGCACTTGTGTTGTGCTAGTGACAGTAAAAAACATTATCCTGATTGTCTTTGTAGAACAACTACACTTGATGATGTGTATCGTCACTACGCGCCTCACAAAAAAATCTTGAAGAAACAGGACATTCACGATGACATCGAGGATTTCGACGGCGAGGTGACGGGTTACGCGATGCCGGCTCCTCTGCCATCCGGAAAAGTGGGTCTTTACGAACCGTCTCCCGAAGGTGAGATTGTTTACAAGCCAAAAGTATCGCTTGCAAAATTACTGAGAAACAAACATGACGTCTTTATCTATTCCGCAATTAGACGACATGTTGTCGTCATCGTCGGGACATCATACTTTTCATTACGGACCCGCGTTCGGTCATCAACAACAGTTCAGTCATCATGGCGACTTCTTCCCGTCTATTCACGAGGAATATTATTACGCACCGCCGCAGCACGATCATCACGAGGAAGAGGAATACAAATATTCCTCATATCCTTCGTATAAAGGAAAAAGCGATCTGTCAATCAAAGACTTCTTTGAAATTGCGCTCACTGCGCTTGCTTTCTTATCGTTCGGTCTGTTCATCATTCAATTGTGCATGAACGCCACGGTAATTAAAATTATCTCCTTGGAACGCAGAATCTAATTAACGTGATGTGACAAGATTAAAAAAAAAAAAAATATTTTTAGAGCAACAACGGGATGATGACGATGACCACCGGACGTTCCAAGAGACACGCGATTCCGCTATCTTTATCTTTCGCCAGTAACGAAGATCTGAACGATCTGTCCTATCGGGTTTTAAAGTCCATCGAGGCGGCTTTGATCGCTGAGGCGGATTCTGGCAATTGTCTGCGCAGGATACTGTGCGAGAATAATCGATACTCAAAAGAAACCAGTGACGGTCGCAGGATTTGGGTCCCTGTTTGGAGGTATATAACAGTTACATCATTGCGGCAATTTTTCAATCAATAACGTTACTCATTTTTTTATTCGTCGCAAGTTGCTCGACAATATCGATAGTCGGCGGATTCGAAGTTGCGTGAAAATTATGAAAATCATCGGTAACATTGAGATCCGTTTTTCCAGTCTGGGCATGAGTTGGCTGTCGGGCAGAGTGCTGCACAGAACTCCGTGGTCGGCAATGTTGGATTCTGTGAAAGCGTCCGTTCTGGGTTTGGGCGGAATCGATTGCGCCTCCTTCTATCCCGGATGCGATCTCGAGCAGGAACGACTCAAACGACGTCGCAGAAGAAGAAAATAAACGCAGCTCTTCGAACGCGCCGATTGAAAATTGAATAAATTAAATACAAATAAATTAATAAATTATATATATGCAATTATATATTTAAATATCATTAAATTAAATACACGAATTCTGTTACGAACCTAACTTTATATTTACACGTACGCGTGTACGTATAATTGCAATAATACATTATTCTAAGTAAGTAAATACACCCTGTGACAAGCAACGTACAATATAATTAATAAATAACGATTATTTCTCTTTGCCATCATTTTCTTCTTGAATTTCTGTTCGGAAGACATGCCGAATAGGCAGCAGTGTCGCGTACGTGGATCCGCTCGGACACACAAAAAATATATTTCTGCCACCTCTGTCCTGCAGTGCCTGGCGATTCGTCAGAATCGGCACTCCACGTTCATCCTGCACTGTGCGGAATTTGGCAACCTTAAAAAAAGAAAAACAAAACATCCAACATTTTCTATTAAATAAATCAGATGTCGGGAAGTTAATTTTATTTAAAAGCGTTCTCGCGGATTGTTTTTGATCGGTAATTTTGCGCTGTTATTCACTTGCTCGAGGGATATCCCTATGGGTTCTCTAGTTATCAACCACAGTATGCTGTTTCTGATGTTTGTCAGCATGACGGAACCCCAGTACACGAAGTAATCTCGTTGAAAGCTTCGCAGCAGGTTTGTTAAAGGAAAAGATATTAAACGAACGGAAGAGTGAACCGTTTGAATAAAGGGTAGTGCTCTTATAATATCGTCCAGAAATGGATTGGGGGCTGCTTGAAGCTATGAATGTAATATTATATACAACATATAAATGTAAGTTTTGATATCTAATGCACATTTCTACTTCAGTTGTGATAAATAAACATCTTAAAGGACACACACGCGCGCGCGTATTAAAATCAACAACAACAAAAAAAGGACAAATATTTCGTACTTTATACAGTTACATTTGTGTGCATTTTGTTTTAATAATCTAATAAACTTCCTTTTTTTTTTTAATTTTCTACTTCTCCTACCTGTAAAAAGTACACCAAGATGCTGATACCGTCGTCTTTGCGAAGAGCTGCTTCGTGAGTTTCGTAATCACTTTTAAAATGCACAGCATGCATTTCCATTGGCACGCTTTGGACAAACGCAATTTTTCGATTAAAAACGTGGAAAAATGTAAAAAATGCACGAACGAATAAAACGTTAAAAATAAAACCTTCCACCGTCGACGTAATGCTCACTGCCGTTCATATCGGTTTTTCCCCAGTGAAAATGGATCTGAGAAAATTTATAGCTGCTGACAAAAGGACCGCCACGTAAATACGGACGTTCCGCTTGCCACGTTGCGCTAAGAAGCACTATAAATAATAAATAAATATTTTTGCACGAGTAATTTTATTATTTTGCACGAACGAATATCGTGTATTTTACCAGTGCGCCCAGTATTGGTCAATTTTAATTTCTTCGGTGTGCTATCGTAATTAAACCATTCTACGGGATTCAGTTCTACAACTTTCATATCGCTAATATTCAAATTTATTGGCGATTTCAGACTCCCATCGGAGGTAGCTAACTGATTTATGAATCTAACCGTGTCTTCGATATTCACGTTATCATCTGATAAAAAAGAAAAATGTTCAATAATAAAAATTCTTCTGATAAATGCGAATATAAATTTGTAAATACGCGATCTTAATTTACACACGCATCTTACCTATCGAAGAACTCATCGTCGATCTATTATTATATTGACACCGCGTGTCATTGACCGATAAATTTTATAAAAATTTGTATGTACACATTTAAATGCACTCTTTGGTACGTGTGTATATTTGTTCGATTTTGTTCTATTCGAACTTCAAGGCGAATGATTTTTATCGATTTTTGAATCGCAAATTTCTCGAAATGTGTAAAATAATTGTTGTAAAAGTCGAATTAAATAACTGACGTAAGCGTAGGATTGTCCGGGATTCCGGAACAGCCAACGACCTTGTTTTCACAAATTGTGCTTGTTATTCGGGTGTTTCAATTAAATTGTTTGTTACAATTAAATTTTCTGTTAAATGTGATATTACGTACTTGCAACACACAGATGGAAAAGCACCGTAATCTCTGGTCTGGTTTGTCGTAACACTTGTCGATCGATTCACGCAACGCGTGTTTCACTGCATAACTTGCGCTTTAATCGAATACCTTATCGAATACGCGTTATTCAGAGAGAGATTGCATCAAACGGTATTAAAAGAACAGCCGAGAATAAATACAAATTTTATGTAATCAATTAATTAAATGTGATTTCTAGAATAAAAACATTGTACACGAACGTTTAAATGTCATGATAAGTTATTAAAACAATTTCAATTTTTTTCCCTCTCTAACCAAATATTGTCGATTCAATGTTTTGCTCCTCGACGGTTGAACGAACTCCATCGGAATATCACGTGTGTAAATTGAAATTTGTTTTTTTAAAGATCCGCCGCGCATTATCGGTATTTCTTCTCCCGCAAGTTCGACATTAACTATTTTAGGAATTATTGTGCAATCAGTAAAAATGTACGATTAATTAAACTCGAATGTCGAAACGCAATTACCTGTTCTGCCAGTATTCGTAAGTGTCGCCGTGCCCTTGTTCGATCAATAATTGGTCAAAAGTAAAGGTGGTTTTTTGGTTCACACAGCGATGCGACTGATGTCGATCGGAGATTGCCGTCAATTTGACAATCAAATTTAACGTTAAGTATAGTTTTACGCCATTAAATATTTATAATGAATTTTTCCTTTATACACGTATGCATAGAAAAATATTATATTGATTTACGTGAGTGTGCGCCTTTGTTTTTGAATGTCATCCGTACATCATACGACGGAAATGTATACCAAGCTGTCAAACGCGGATAATACCGATGTGCAAAATTAAATATTTATTGCTTTGAGAGGAGACACAGTGTCACTTTTTATATTACGATTTTATTATTGTATCTCGAAATGTCATTATAAGTAATTTAAAAATGATTGTAATTTAAAACTGATCAATTTGCGATACGGTAGAAGTTTTACTAATCACGCTTTTTGAAAACTTTATTATTTTATATTTAAATCATCTGTCAGCTAACTTTTTATAGAATGAAGTGAGTTTCAAAGATTTTTCAACCAATCGTCATTTGAAGTTGCGCATAAATTTATATACTTTCGTAAATGTCTTTAATAGAAATTGTTATTGTATAAAATATGTCGGACAAATTGTGTGTTCATTAAATCGCGCGCATAAAAATTCATTACCTCAGAAACATTATTTTAATCTTGACAAATCCAAGGTTTTTATTTTGTAATTTAAATGTCAGCACGTCGACGCAAAAATGTTGGAAGGATTCTCGCTAGTAGAATGTATGATTGCTTGTAGCAGCTTTTTTCTTTTCGGTACGTGTACAATAAATTGTTTTACGTCAGTAATGTAATATTTCTCTTTGTCTCTCAAAAAATTAAAATTTCTCTTCAAATATTTGTACAATATTGTGACAATTTTATTTTAAATATTATTATTTTTATCGTTTATAATATTTATTATTTTTATCATTATAGTGTTTTTATTGAACGAAATTGCCGATTGGATTATACAACTGTTTACGTGGACAGACAACGACTACCATCCGCCAAGTTATTCGTTTGGTTATGCTGGCCGGTACGGTCCTCACACGTGGAAAGACTTGTATCCCGAAAGTAAAGGTAGCAATCAATCACCCATCAATATCACCACCAGACTCGCTGTGGTAGTACAACCGGTTGAACCACTTCGATGGAGCAACTATAACACTGTACCTATGTCGATGACTATCGCAAATGACGGTCATACTGGTATATTTAAAAGTTACACGTTTACAAAAAAAATATCACATTTTTTTACTTTATGTAAATAGAGATATTAAATTTATTTATATATAAAGTTATTTATATATTAAATTTTTTTAAATATAGATCAATTTTATATGTACATGTATGCAAAATATGGTAATATAAAAATTTATTTATATAAAAATAAATGTTTTTGCTTAAAATTCTATGATCCATTTTCTGTTTGCACACAGTGATACTACGAGCGTATTGGCCGAGCATTGGATGGCCGCAGCTCCAAGGAGGACCCTTGACCGATACGTACGATTTCTTTAACATCATTTTTCATTGGGGCCCGTCCGATGAGGAGGGCAGCGAGCACACGTTAGATTACGTTCGTTATCCCATGGAGTTGCAAGTGCTCCACACGAAACGTGGAATCAAATCACCGAAGGAAGCAATTGCTCTTGGAGCGAAAGATGGATTAGCAATTGTTTCGTTCTTTCTTCAAGTATAAATGCAATTTTTTAGTTGAACAATAAATATCTCTGCGCACAAACTTTTTAATTAAGGGCCTTAGAGCGCCTTTGAACGCGTTAAGTAAAAACACACCGCGTCTGTCAAACCAAAGTAGTGCGTCTGTTACAACGACATTACAGATAAACGACACGGGTAATCCTTATCTGGATCACATCGTGAACAATTTGTTTCGTATCGCTTGTCCGGGTTCCAAGATTTTCATACCTCCTTTCCCATTAGAGTGGATTTTTGCACCTTTCGACAGAGATTACTACACGTACAGCGGTTCCCTCAGCCTGCCTCCATGCAACGAAATAGTCACGTGGATTGTCCAACAACAGCCAATCGCTATATCTTCATTTCAGGTTAAGATTTAAACAATTACACGTTAACTTTGTCGAGATAAACAAATTTTATCAGATTTTACATCGTCGTTATTACAATTGCGCAGGTGGAGCAGTTTCGAAAAATTTGGTTAATAGACGCCCCGTTAATTTTGAATTGTCGCCCGGTTCAACCGCTGAACGATCGTGACGTTTATTTTTACGAAGAGAGCATACCTCGTGATTAATCTTCATATTTGCCTCGTAAAAAAATGTGTGCTCATATGAGAAAAGATTTTTTTATCCACAAATATTACGCGTTTACTGTGCGTGTTTTTTTTCTTTACATATATACGTATGAGTATACAATAAATTTAATAATAGTGTTTTAATATAGTGTTTTATGTCACAATTAGCTTTCACAATGATGACGGTGCGAAAAAATCTAATAAAGTAGCATAAAAAAAAATAAAGAAAAGAACAATTTTTACACAGAGAACAACATCTTTATTATCAGTGTCTTCTATAAACAGGCAGGATATATATATTTATATATATATATATATATATATATATATACTTTTTATATATATATTTTTATATTTTTATATATATATATACTTTTTGTCAACTGTTTTTCTTCTCAGAAAATAAACGTATTAAAATTTGTATTACTCATTATACAATAAAGTTCTCTCTTTGGCACAAGTTATATCGTAATACGTTATTATAATCATAATCACATCGCAATAGGTACAGAGTAGAGAGAAAAGTGGTTCTCTGGTTAAGGACCAGATTGTACGTTGTTTTTTTTTTTTTACATCAATCTAACTGTATATGCATATATATATATGTATACATATATATATATATATATATGTGCGTACACAATATATGTATATACATATATGTATACATACATATGTATATCCATTCTGAAATAGATATAACCTACTTACAGTATACTAACAAACGATATTATTGTTAGGAGAAACTGGGACTAATTGACAATTTTTTCATTTACAAGTTTTACAAGTCTGAAACGTCATAACAGGAGAGGAAGAGTTCATTATTGTACGAGTGTGTATGTACGCGCGCGTGTGCGTGTGTATAGAATATTACTTATCTTAATTATCAGAAATATATTATAAATAATATATGTATATATATATATATATATTATATATATAAATTATTATATATATATATATTGTAAATAAAAATCTTAAAGCGGGAATATATCGTAAGTGAGAAAACACTTCGTGTCACTTCTTATACGATTTATATTTACAAGTTAAACAATGTGTCGTAGAAACTCTGAAAATAGTAACGATATTCACAGTTGTAATGTGCCAGTCAGCCCCAGTTACTTCTCCGTTGTTATTATCGCACTCGCACCCAAATCTCGTTCGTCAAAAATCTATCGCAACAATTTGTTCGACGATGAGTTTTCACAAAAAGACGACAAAATAAGATTGGTTTTACAATCTCGAATCGGGCTTTTGTGTAATTTCGCAGAAAGAGAATCAAACCCGGAAAAAATGTTCGCACGTTCAATCGCTTAACATGTTTAACGTAACGCAAGTACGTACATCTCATACAAGACAACACAAAATGTCAATGACAACAATTTGTGTGTCGCTCGTCAATTTTTGCTTCGCTGGAATCGTGAAACGCGTTTCGATGCGTGAGAGAACAGTGTTGTCGTGTTGTTCCGTCGATAATCGAATTGAATACGAAAGTACACGTGTGTGTGTGTGTGTGTGTGTGTGTGTATGTATGTATTGCAATATCTACGTGTGTATGTAGAAGAGCATTGGTCGCAGTATTGCTGACTGGCAGCAAAAAACGAACAGCAGAGAGATTGATCTAGCATCAATCGTTAGCACTTATCTCATCCTGTAAAGTACTTAATCGCCGCTCGCGGACGCCGCAATTCTCGGAATAGAAACCGGATATTGCCCGTGCCTTTTTGTTTTCGCGTGAGATCGACAAAACCAACTTCAATAAAAAAATTTTCTCCCACGCGTGATATGGCGCGCGCGCAAGATGATGACAAAAACTCAAAAAACTTGTGTGTATCCTCCGCCGGAGAGTTGTTGTTAGTGCTGAGAATGATCGCGCCACGACATTCTTTTCACCTCGTCCAGACTACGAACCATGGATCATTCCTCCTCCGTGTTTCTTATCGATCGGCAGAAGAAAGCGGACGCCACTATGCCGCACGCCTGAAATAATAGATATATTTGATGTCAACGTTAAAACGGGAACGTGTGTGAGGAAACACGCGTGTGGGAGGCGCGCTTTCTTCGTGAGAAACTTTCGGAACAGAAATCCGAAACAATCTCAGACGCAAGAAACGCGAGACAAATGTGATATTCACCTGTAACACTATCATCAGAAAGCATGAGAATATCAGCAGGCAACTTTGCCACTGCAGCCAGTCTGAAACTTTGTCGAGGCACCCCTGGAAAAGCAATTGTGTCATCTCAAATATAACGCGGCGCGTTGTATGTATACATATATGTACAACAAGGCGAAGAAGATCTAATAGCACGTATATCCGTACCTCCTTGTATCTGTAGTCCTTGTGACCTTCCTCGATTTGTACTTGACACGCGGCCTCATCCTTCGGCTGTGGAAACTGCCACGGTTTCTCATTCTGCGCAAAAGATCGTTTACTCACGTAGCAATAGGGCTCGTAAGCGTTTGCGCGCCTCTTTTCACTTTCTTACTTACATTCTTGTGAAACACCCTCGAGACAACGCTCATCGGACTACCTGTATTTTGTTTCTGTAAAATAGAAACTCGCGTTGTTGTCACAACAAATTGCGTGTGTCAATTGGATCAATTAGTTGAAAATAAAGGAAACATATATGATAAATATTGTACAATAACATAAATATATATCACATTTGTTTATAAGTGACTTTGTCAATTTTGAATCGAATATTTCACGTAATGTTCAGAAAATAACGTACACGTAAGATAATGTGTGTTTGTGCTTTCAAAACATCACATATATTGTACACATTTCTATAAATATCAATATTTGATAAATGTAATATGTTATTTTTAGTAGCTCCTCGTGTATTTTAGATCGATCGGTTAATTAAAGTAAGTATACCTCGGTATTTTTGAGAACACAACACGTGAGCGGAACCTGTTTCCTGTTGCCCGAGATATAACTGTCTCTCCACCAGGTCGTGCCGTTGTAATCGCCGTCGCTGTGCACTCCGCAGCACTTGAACTGCAATGGAATCATCCATGTGCTCTTCTCGAACCAATGCCTCGTCCCGTGGACGATTTCTGACAAAGCGTCGGCATGCAGTCGAGATCTCGTCATGCATGTAACATTAATTTAAGACGCGCGCCCGCTCGCAACACACATGCTCTACAGAAGAAAAACAAAAAAAAATAATATCTAAATATTTGTTTTTTTCAACGCGTTAACTGTAAAAAAAATTATCTCTCTCGCATTTAATCGCTTCGCGTGAAGCTCGTCGCCGAGAAGATGTGAGAAACAATTTGCACGTGCGTGTCTTTGACACTTCCTTCGGCCGCAAAATCGCCGCGAAAAATCTCAACTCGATTGTGACGTGATGAAAAGCGTGCTCCGAATCACCTAAAGATCTCAGGTGAGACCATTTTTTCGTGTTTCTAAACAAAAGCGAATTCAAGAACAAACGTTTCCGAACACACACATCGTGTGAAAAGCGAAAGATGATGAGCGCAGTTAATGAAGCGACTCTGCTTAAAATGCGACACCTTGTACTGCATGAAGTCCATGCTCTCGCTGAAGAAAACGTCGCTGTCGGCGTCCGGGTAGTGGCCGTAGTCCACCGCCAGTTTTTTGGTGAGTCGGTCCTCGAGATCCAACAGGATCTGACGTGTCTTCAACCCGGCGATGGCCGCCACCACCAGTTCCGCGGCAACAAGAAGAGTCAGCATGACTATGTACTGCGGGGGACAAAAAAAAATAAAAAATAAACGACGATGTAGAACCGACCTTGACCCGGCGTTCTATAAACGACACCACGACCCGAGGGGAGGCCGATAAAAATGTCGCTCTCTTTACTCACGCTGATGATGATCCATCGATAGCCGCGTAGCGCGGCGTGACAGCCGAAGGAGCCGACCAGGAGCACGACGCAGCCGAGCCCGAACAGGCAGTAAGCTACTATATTAATGGTCTCGTACGGTCTGGGATCAGACACGAACAGATTGAGGATGTGCCCCTGGCCGTGGAGAAACAGCTGCATGCCCATTACGAGCATCGTGCTGCCGGACAACTGTGAAATTCCGAAAACTGTGTGAAACTCGCGCGACAATGGGAGAGAAAAGAAAATAACATCCAGAGCGATTGTGCGCGACTAAGACTTGTCCAGCGCGCGACGCTAGTAATTCTGTATCCCAAAAGACGATTTTTTTTTTTTTAAACAACACAGCGCGCAACTTTCTCATGTTAATTAAAAATTTAAACAGTGTTCTCTTTGTTTTTCTCTCTCTCTATCTCTCTCTCGAGAAAAAGCAGAGACGAACGGGGGTAACGAGGCAAACGTTCGATAGTCTATTGATTTACTCTGCTTCTCTCTTTCTCTTTCTCTCTATCTATCTATCTCTAGAGACAATCTAAGCAGAAGCGGAGGTAACGCGCTATAAAGTTCGAACAACGATTTGTTTTCCTCTGAGGTACAGAATTACGCGAGAATTATTTATAACAAAAGCGTCGGTATCTACAAGTGCTTTGTGTGTGTGCGTGTGTGACACACGTGTGTCTCGCTATTTTCAGATTTAAATTTATAATGTGTTTATTAACGTGCATTGGTCTTATTTACCCATATTAATACATTGCATGTGATTAACGCAGCTTTCAAATATTTCATGTCTGGAATATGTGTATGTTTATTTATATCCTTATTCTCCGTGATCGGTTATGGTGTTCTTGATTTTTCCACTTAGTCATCAATCTGCGGGATACAACAGAGCGAGATCAGTCTCTCAAGTTGTAACTTGTAACTTATTAAATTTCTATATTTCATATTTTCTAAAAAAAACCGTGAAACATTAAAAAAAAAAAAAAAACTTTAAACATCTTTCACCGCCCTATGATTTTTTACACAAAATAAATTTTGTATCTTGAAATATATTTCCTTTATTTTATACACGTTTATAATTATTTCAAATAAAACACTAAGCGTGGATAATATTTCTTTGTTAGTTTTTTCTCTTGCAAGACATTATTAAAATTAACGAAAAACGTTTACAAACATCTACGGTTATTTATTTAAATCTTTCAGCAAGTTTAGATTCTTTTTTGTGCAAAGAGCCTGTAGGTATTTGCTAAAATCTAACATCTGACAAAGTGTGTCGCGAGCGTAAACTTACCTTACGACATCCGTCACTCGCGCCCAGTATCCTGTTAGACATTTTCTTTTAACTGTTGCACAGTTTCTCAAAATAAGACACAAAGTGCAATGCACAATCGAAGCGACGTCGCGCACAACGAAGATGTACATCCACAAGTGTCACTCCGCAATTTTGGCTCGCGTTTACCGTGTCAGGTTCACAGGTGGTTCGCGATCCTCGAGCGGTACATCATGTCGGTTCGTTTTGCGCAGCACGACGTCCTCGGCACGGCGAGTAAGAGCGGCGGAGATGGTAGCGCGGACGGAGACACACCCGCTTGTCATTTGTCGAGAGAAATCGATCCGGGAAGGGAAACCGTTCCGTACGTTCACGCGCGTGAACCCGAATCGAAGCAGCGGGTACTCGTATCGCGATTCAAATCCGGACGAAGAAGATCTTCTCCGGGAGCGAGAGCGCGTTCTCGTCAACGCTTGAGCGTCATCTGCGCGAAGTCGATGAGGCCACAACCAGCCCCCTAGAATTCTCCACCCTCCCCCCCGTCTTTCTCCCCGCGTCGCGTCTACGTTACGCTCTGACGTGGGTCCAGATGCGTCTGCGTGCTCGCCGTCGTCGCCGGCGCCGACGCCCTGTGTCATCCGAAAACACTTGATTCCCGTCAGGACCATCCCCAGAACGATCCCAGAACGAGCTCGAATAGCGCGCCCGTCTTCTCTCCCTCGCGAACGCGAATAGCTATTATCGTAACGCGGAATAGTACCGAACAATCATCCTAATCAAGGCGCGGCAACTATTCTGATTAAAACGTTATAATCGTTCCTCATCTCCTTTCCGAAATTATTCGCTTCAGTCGGGAACAAGCGGGGCGAATTAGTGGAGCAATTTTAATTTCGCGGATTGCGGTGTTTGTTTTTTTTTGTTCGAAGACAAGTAGACGAGAATGGCGGAATTTAATGAAAAAGCAAATCGGACTTTTATATCTTTTCGCGTTACATGAACCTTGTTACGTGAAGTACGACTTCAAAAGCGGCAAACAAAGAGCTGCGCGACAGAGTTTCTCACTTTCTCTCTTTCTCTCTCTCTGAATTTAATTAACTTAATTAACTTGATTTCGCGAAAACTCTCAAGAATGAGATACAGCTTCAAGCTATAGTTTTATATCTGTCTCTCACTCCCGTCGTTTTGAAAAGATAAAACTTTGTGTGTGTGTGTGTGTGTGTGTGTACTGTACAAAAAAAGTGTGTTCAACATTTTAAAAATACCATCACATTATGTAAATATAATAAATTTATTATTAGATATTAACAATTTTTTACAGAATTCTCGCTTAAATATTATACAACTATAAGTAGAAATTTTCAACGGCTATAATCAAAGAACACTTACATTTAAAACACGCAGTTTGTTTGTTTGTTTGTTTGTTTGTTTATACTATAAAACGCATCATGTAATTTGCAACGGCAGTGGGACGCCCGATGTACGACTAGAGATATACATTCAATCAAGTCGTATCACGCGTAACTCCTCCTCAACGCTCGATAATTTTTTTTATTTTTTTCTTTCTCACGGATCTCATCGTTGCCTGAAAACTACGTAAAATCGAAATAGCGTTGTCGAAGCGAGGAAACAGACGGTTCCCCGTGTTTGTGTGTGTGTGTATGTGTGTGTGTGTGTGTGTGTGTCTGATTAAGTACGTAACTTCCACTTACGACGCTTCCACTTACGCGCGTTCGCGATGCGCGTTCGCACGGCGCGCGCTAATTAACGCGCCGATCGTGCGAACCGACAGAAAGAGGCGCGAGCGGTCGCGTAAAATAGAAGCGCAATGGACAACAATAGTGTTAACTTTTTTGTCCTCGTGCGATTGTGTGTACGCGCGCAACGATACGCGCTCTGTTATTAATTGTGATTATGGTACAACACACACAAATTGACGTGAGCAAACGCGATCGTATAAATAAACAGGGATTATATGATACACAGCATGATGGGGATCGATCATTTACAGGGTCGGGAGGAAACCTCGCTCAGACACGCACATACAATCGTTCATATATATGTAAAAACGTACAATCACGCGTTTAGGTAAATCTTAAAATCTACGATTAGGCATTTCGACTCTCTCTCGTAGTAGTGACACTTCCTCGTTAATTAAAAACAAAATCGACGCACGAAAAAAAACTCTCAAAAGAGTTTCTGCAGAGGATCCTCACACGCTAGATAAACTCTCGTTCGAAATTCTGAATTGAATTCTTTCTCGAATTTACATACGTATGATAAACATATATATAGACGTAAACGATAATTTATAAAATATGATTCGATGTTGCGATCTCGATGATGGTTTTGCAAAATTGTTAGCGTTCGTTTCGTGATTTTTATTAGCAAGATGCGTGAAAAGAACACATTAGTCGGCAGAAAGTACGTGTAAGTCGGAATTGAATATAAATCAATCGGAAAAGAAATTTCTGCGCTCGCGCGATGAAAATCCGTCTTTGCGCGATATTTTCATGACCTCGTTTCGCTGCGTTTACCCGAACGCACAACCACACACATCTCGTGCTCTCGTGCTCTCTTTTATGGATATCTCATACGAGATAACTCGTTCGAGAATGTATTCCGTCGAGAATTCCGCACGTCCGCGGAATTCTCGCATCGTCGCCACACATTCGGAGAATATGACGTATGAAAGGACTCGCGCGTGGAGGTACGAAGTTATTCAACCATTTATAAGCGCGCTTTCTCCTTCTCTCTCTCTCTCCCTCTCTCTCTCTTTCTTAATACGACGGTTTAGGTTCTCGTTCGTGCGCTCGAGAAGAAGCGCGGATATTGATTATTCAAGAATCCTTCCGTTGCTGTATTTTTCCAGTTTATCGAAATTACGCGTGCTCGTAATACATATGTATATCGGGATTAAATAGCGTCGTTCTTATTCACCGCATCCCTCGAGAGCTATGTGAAATAAAACCGGGAAGAAAAAACGTCGATTTTACGAACGAATTCACAAACATATCGCCACGAGGTGATTTCGCGTCGAAACACGATTTCCAACGTGCGTGTATACATGATCGCTCTCGAATATTCCTCACACACAGTCGATAAAAAAAAGTTCGATCTTAAAAAAATTACGTTTTTTCGATCACAGCTGCAGCATCTTACTCTCGCGTGCGCTCATACGGTATCGAAAAACAAAAACGCTATAAAATTTATTTTACAGGATACTGCACTCAACATTTCTCTTTCTCTCTCTCTTTCTTTCGAGTATCTAAACTTCGGTGACAGTCTTTGACATGGCTAAGTGCACGTCGCCGAAACGTGTAACTTACAATTCCGTTGTGGTTTCCACGGGGCTCTGCTCGCCGAGATACGTGAACCCGAGATGCGAATAATCCTTCCTCTCTCTGAAGGTGACATTTTCGTTGGACGGGCTCGGATTCAACAGATCGCCGCTGTGGTTGTAAAGCGGATTGAGCACCGGCGTCGCATCTCGATTGCTCAGGGTGTTTGTATTGCTGTGATTCTTTCGACCGAGCGTGGACCGTCGCAGGGAATGGATATTGGTGTCGCCGTGATTACCGACGATACTGGAAGCGCGTGCCGTGGTCGCCGCTTCGGAGCTAACGGGACTTTGTTGGCCTTAAACAGAACACGGAAAAATTGATTGTGCATTCCTCAGTTCTCTCGACGTGGAAATGTCACGTCGAATCCTTATGTGTGTGTGAACAAATGTTATATTTTTCATTCGCGAGTGAAATTTAGAAAAGCACACACCGACCAAAAATTATTATATTTTCAATTGTTTCATTTAAATGTGTGTGTGTGTGTGTGTGTTTTTTATAACATATCTCTTTTATTTTATATTTTATATAACATAGATATTTTATATTTTATATAACATAGATATTTGTAAGAGGAAGTATAAACTACTTCGAATTGCACACAATTGTTTTTTTTCTATTTGCGAACGCTTGAAATTTGACTCACCGGTACTGTCTCCGTGGTCTTTGGTGATGTAACTGACATTGTCCAGACTGAACGCGTGATTCTTGTTGCTGAAGTCGAGTTGTAGATCGTTGCAGCTGTCGTTGTCGTCAACCGGCACGCTCATCTGGAGCACTTGCGTCTCGTATTCCTTCAGATTCGGCTCCACGTAGACGGGATCGTATCGCGGCACCACGTACATGCGCTGCATACGGTCCTTGTACGCTTTGTACCTGCATCACACAAATACGTCGTTTTTCCACGATAAAGACCTCTCTCTCGATGAAGAGTTTTTTATCTCGCAAAGTGCGTAAACACCCGGAAGGATTATTTTACGGCGAGAGAGACGTTCGGGGGGAGATATCCGAAGCGGAAACCTCAATTAAGACTAATGGAGGTAATAAAGAGCAGCATGAATTTGCATCGCTCGGCGAGTTTCAAATGAATATTCACACTCGCGGAGTGAATTCTCCCATGCGACCGCGTATAATAATAACGCCTGTGCTAACATTTCAAATTGTCTTTAGGTGCATCGCCGTGCATCGCATTTTCCGACGGGCTTTCGCGAATTTTCTGAATTCTCGTTGTTTAAACCGCGCATAAATATATATGACTCATACTTGGACCAAGAGACGCATATGTAGATGATTCCAGCGATGCCGAGAATTAGGATCACGCAGGCGATGACGATCAGTGCGTACGGGAACACCTCGGCGTTGAACGCAATCGCTTTTTGGGTTCGCACAGGTTCGGGCGGCATCACAGGTGCGTGAATATCGATGGCGTTCGCTCGCACCAACGTGGACACGTCGAACGTGATGTTCGACATGGCGGGCTTGTCCATAATTGACCTGTCGAACGGTTGGACACTTTCAATATTTACTATCGACCGACCAAATGTCATAACACAACATCGTCAACTGACCTTTCGATTCGCGTGGGAGAGAAATGAGATACGTGTCTATCTCTCTTTCTCCACGTCGATATTCTCTTCTGGTTTACGTGTAGTGAAGCGATTAATTGAATTGAGAGACAAAAGCTTATATATATTTTATCGAAAAATGTCGCGATTAGACCTTTGCTCAAAATAATTTAGGATTTTTTCACACATCATAGATTGCGATAAAAATCTAATTTTGCAACGCCAGCGCGAATTTTATTTATTTTTTCTATCATCGTTTCTTTGTGCACGTCGAAGTGCAAATTTTTACCTGAGCACTCTGGAACTGTTTCTGCTCAATATGGTCTCGGTGTCCGGATCGATCGCGTAGAACCAAACGTCGGAGTCTTGCGGGAACGTCTCGACGGTGCCGTTCTTCGTAAGGACCTTCCTCACAGCGATTCTGTCTATACCGATCAGCAGGTTCGTCTTTTTCTCAATTACGTCCGCTATCTTGTCGGCTTCCTTCTGCAGCGCCTCCGGCGTCGCGTCCTGCACCACCAGAATCATGAGGTTCTCCTCATCGATCAGATTGACGATCACCGGCGCGACGATCGAGTTGTAGTTGTCGGTCGAATTCGGATTGTCGCGCACGCGAACGTTGAACTTGAACGGTAACTCGGACGAATCCACGTGATCGAACGTCGCCGCGGTTCTGATTATACCGGTGGAACTGTCGATCGCGAAGTAATTGGAACCCCGTCCTTCCAGGATCTTGTACTCCAGCTTGCCGTATTTGCCGTTGTCCTTGTCGTTCGCCTTCACTTGTATAACGGTGGACCCGAACTGCGCGGTACGCGGAATCGCCGCGAAGTAACGACCTCTTCTCAGCTTCCGGTCATTCGTCTCCGGTAATTCCGGTTTGTTGTCGTTCACGTCCACCACCTGGATTTTTACCTGCAATCAAACATCAAGACGAGACGATTTTTAATTAAAATAGCTACAAGTTATGACATTTACGTCACTTTGTTTTGTTTTTTTTTTTAGTTTTGAATATTTTTCTGTGCTCTTTGCAATTTCTTTTCGTAAATAAATAAATAGCATAAATAACAAAAATAAATAAATAACTTAAATAAATATTTCATAATGTTGCTGCACAGTAGATAAAAAGAAAAAAACATTTTCTCTTCTCTTCTTTCTTTCTTAATGTATTTAACGCGTCGATCTGTCGCTCATCTCACCATCGTCGTGTTTCTGCCTGAATTCAAGAGACCCGAGAGCGACTCGAGTCTGATCTTAATCTGATAGGATTCCGTCGTCTCGTAATCCAGCTTGCCCTTCTTCAGTCTCAGAGCGCAGTTTCGCTCCTCCGTGACGTTCGCCTCGAACAGACCGTCCTCGTTGCCGCTGTAAATCTCGCACCTGAGCGGCGTGGTGTCATGCGCGTGACTATTGATGATGGTGATTATCTTTATTAACGTGTTATCGCCCGCGTTCTCGGGCACCTCGACGTTGTACGAGCTCTCGGCGAAGCCCAGACCGATCTCGGGCGGCACCGTCGCTACGTGGCGCACGTAAACCGGTACGGTTGTAACGGACGACAGTTGCGGCTCGCCCATGTCGTACGCGCGCACGTCGACCTGTGGCGCAACAAGAAACAATCGTCTCGTACAAGATGGAAGAGAAGGGATTTAATTCCGCACCGGAAGCGGAATTACCTACTACACGGCGAATATTATTAAGTACCTGATACTCGGAATCGGTTTCCTTGCGCAGATCGTCACGTATTCGCAGCACGCCGGTGTCGGGATCGATCACGAAGTATTTACTTGCGATACCGCGACCGATGATCTCGTACCGAACCTACGAAACGTCGAATATAGATATTTCGCGAAATGAAAATCACCTTCACCATCTTCGCGACAACAACAAAGGAAAGAGATGTTGATCTCCCCTACCTGATTTCCCGGTGCGGTGCCGTCGGAATCCGTAGCCGTGAGATTGATCACGATAGTTCCAATGGGGACATCGTCATCGAGCGTAATGGGACGCAGGACCGACGTAAATACCGGTGGAATGTCGTTCACATCCTGTCATGTATTTAGAACGTTACTTACTGCCGTCGTAATAAGGTGCACTTAAAGTTAAAAGTACACGCGGCGATAGACGCGAGGCGTACATAGGAATGGCGATTATGATGTTAACGCGAACCGGTTCCGACGGCGTGAATTAATTCCCGAGATCGCGACAGATAAATAATCTCTCGTTTTAACGTTTTTAAAATAAGAAACTCTCATGCAAGACGAAGAGACAGAAGAAGAGAAGAGATTAAACAGAGAAGTTAGTTGAATTGTATTTCTAGCGAAAGCTTTGAATTAATCATCCAGAAAAAAGTGGTTTTAGTGTGAGAAGATTATAAAAAATAACTTACAAAATTATATTATAAAAAATCTTTTATAAAAACAAAGATTATAAAAAATAACTTACAATTAATGCGAGGAGAGAGCGAAAATAATCGCAATAGCGTGATATCTTGTGCGTCAAAGCTCAAAAGAAAGGTGTACATGTATGTTCGTAGGTATGTATGTACACGAGAGACGCGCCAAGCCGACAACCATCATAATGAAGAGATATTGTGCGAAGCTAAGTACCTGAACGTTGATAACCACACGAGTCGTGGAACCAGGCAGATCGCTCGTGTTTTCCTCGGTGCCGACTACGAGCACGTGCTGGTTTTGGCTTTCGTAATCGAGACCGCGAACAGTTTTTATGACTCCGGTCTTCGGGTCTATGCTAAAGAGTTCAGTATCCCCTTGTCTGATCGTGTATGTAATTTGCTTCTTTGTGTCCGGATCATCGGCCTAGAAATGATCGCGTTACCTTTTTAAAAACCCGAGAAGCCGCGAGACCCATCCCGCCAGGATCGTGTCCTTTCTACAGCTCGTCAGCGGGAACGAGAATCGTCGGCGACGCGAGTAACGCGAATATACCTCTGAAAGTCGAGACGAGTGTAGATCTCTCTCTCTCTCTCTCTCTTTCTCACTCTCTCTCTCTCGATTATCCAATAAAAACTTCTCTCTGAAAGTCCACTGAGCGAATCGGTATACTTTTGATAAAATTGCATCTCTCTTCGTTATTATAATCCAATTCGAAGCCAATTTTACAGTCGACATGTCGCGTGGAAAAGTCACGAGACTTTATCTCGAAACGGATGTTTTTTGTGTGTGCGGTACACACACACACACACACACACACGTGAAAAACTCTGCCTCAAAATTTTTTGCTTTTAAGGTTTTTTTATTTTTTATTTTAAAGCGTTGGAAAAATTCTCGTTTAACCGAAGCCGCACGAAAATCGATACTAACAAATGACATTAATCGCTTTTGCATTACATTGCGCTCGCGTTTCCTCAATTGAGAACACGAGCTGATTAGGGAGCGGTTTATTATATATGCTGGTTTATATTGATAGTGCGACTCACCGTGACTTGAATCACATTGGTGTCGGGCACGTTCTCTCTGACGTTCGCCTCGTAGCTGCTTTGATGAAAGACCGGGACCTCGTCCTCGACATCTATTACTTTTACCGTGACTGTTGCGGTTGCCAAACGATAGTCCGGAGCTCCGTCTCTCGCGGTCACCACGAATTTATATTCCTACGCAAATTCGCGCACATATACATCTCAACACAAATTAAAAAAATTAAAATTATCAGATTTTTATTTTTTTCACATAGAAATATTAAAATAAGAAATTGATATATTTGTAATAATATTCGATAATATAATTACGTAATTATTATCGATCGGTATTACATGAAACAATTTTGCAATTAAAACCACTGACTAATTTAATTCGAATTATTATCCGGGTTTTTTTTTCTCTTTTTAAAACGAGCATCACGTTTTTTTCCGCGAATTAAAGTCGTGGAAACTGCAAATCGGGCGCACATTTTGTGCTCTTTTCTTTTGTGTTTGCAGTATACAATAGCGCAATTATTTAAGCGTAACAACATCCTCGTCTTTGCAATCCAAACGTGCAAACTAAGTCGTTTCCGTTACAAGACGCTCTCAAATTGTAATTATCTTTTGCAACTTTCGTGAGACGAAACCATTTTTTTTTTTTTTTTCCGGAAGAAACGGGATTCAAACTGTATACAAGCTGTATCCTTAATGAATGGTCTCGCTTACGTGTCGTGCAATCTTTTACGAGAGCAAACGAAAAACGAAAACTCATTAACCTTTATATCGTCCCGCGAGAATTTCAACGTTATAATTTTTTTTCCCGGAAAATTTTTAAAATAAACCTGAGCTATAAACTGTTTTTCTCTCTTGAAAAAAAGCCCGCTAGCTATTATAAAATAACCAGTTTTATATCAGCGAAACATCAACGGACAAATTTTACGTGCGGTTTTGTAAAAAGTGTGTGCACTTGCGCAGGAGAGAGAGGAGGGGGAAAAATTATTACTCACATTGTTCTGCTCGTAGTCCAGCACTATCTTCGTTAGAACGTCACCGGTTTCGGGATCTACGGTGAAGGGAATGTCGTCGGGTGCGAAATACGTGATCTCGGCGTTGACACCCTCGTCGGCGTCCTCGGCGTGAACGCGGCCGATCAATTTTCTCGCCTCGCCCTCCTTAACGGAAAATTCGTAGGGAAGACCCACGAACTCGGGATTCTTGTCGTTAATGTCAGTAACCATAATATTGACCGTGGCGGTGCTGTACAGGCCGCCCGTGTCCTCGGCTTTTATTAGCTGTGTAAATTATCAAGCGACGAAGTTTTTTATCATTAAATTTAACATTAAATTTTCACGTTCAATTTTTTCTCGTTCTAAATAAATTATTATTTATACAAAAAAAAAAAGTTGATTGAAAAAGTCACTCTCTTGTATTCTTTAGACGAAAGCTCTCAAAACATCAGAGAGAAACAAAAACAGTAATCAACTGTGATGACGTGTTTAAATATTTATTCTTTTTTCCAACGCGCGAAAAAAAAAACAATATTTACCGAACATGTAAACAAATTTTTGTGCTCGACATTTGAAGCGCGCCGCTTTGAAGTTTCTCGTTATGAACGAACGAGAGAATGTTTTTTCCAGATTAGATGAAAGTAGTCGATAGAAAGCGATGTAAAGCGAAAAGTGCATTGGCTTGTAACAGAGGTTGTAGGAAGTTTGCGCTACAATGTTTCGCGAGCAGCTGACGATATCGGCTTACCAATTGATATCGGGTCAGGTCCTCCCTATCCAACTTCCTTATAACGGTAATAACGCCTGATTTGTCGCCGATCGCGAACTGGCGCAAGTCATTCCCCGATACTATCGAGTACGACACCGGATCATTTTCTGGGTCGATGGCCTGCAACATCGATTAAGAACGCTATCGAGACGTACTGTTATGTATTTATTCAAAATTCGATGCAAAATTGCCGTTTTTATTTCAACTCGAAATAATTTATTAACGATATAAAAATATATAAAAAAAATCGTGTGCAAAAATTTTGCAACTTTTAATTTGATTTTGAAATTTTACAAAAACAGAGTTGATCCGAAAATCCGCAATACGTTTTCACGAGCAACAATTTTTTTTACACAACAATTTTTCATATAACTCAAATAAAACTGATAAATTGCAACGTCAATTTATGCGAGAAAACAGAACGTCACAGGATGAAAGCACCGTACAATCGAGAGTATAATAATAAACCAAAAAAAAAAAAAAAAAATAGATAGATGAGCGAATGTCAGAACGTTTGAAGTTCCAAGATAAATCTCTGTCGAGACAGACGTCAACGCGTCTGATACTCACGGTGATGGTGGTGACTGTGGAATTGATGGAGGCTCCCTCGCTGACTTGCACCTCGTACACCGGCTGCTGGAACACGGGACTTCTGGTATTCGGCCCCGGAATGACATTCACCTCGACGATCGTTTGCGAGTACTTGCCACCCTTGTCAGTCGCCTGTACGGTAATGCTGTATTGCTCGCCGGCGTTCAACTTCCTCACCGACTCGATCACCCCCGTCTTCGGATCGATCTTGAACTTGTGCAGACCGTTGTTCGATACGTGATAGATGCTGTACGTTATCTCGGCGTTCTCGCCTTCGTCGTTGTCCGCCGCCTCGACCTACGCGAATTATTCGAATTTAATTCGATCCTGCTTCGAATTCCGAAGCTCCCGCAGATAACGTCTCCGAATACATCGTGACAAAACGTGATAAAAACAACGGTCAGCAATTTAAAGTAAAATATATGTTAGCGTTAATTTTAATTGTATCAGGAATGGTGCGAGAAACAATGTATCGCACAATTGAACAATTCGAAGTAACAAAAAGTCCCACCTTTGCTATCTGTCTCTTCGTTTCTCCCGCTTGAACGGTGACCGGCGCCATCATAGGCAGCTGGGGCGCGTTATCGTTAACGTCGTTCAACGTCACGACGAACGACAGAGGCGACGACGCGGCCACACCCGTTTTCTCTCGAGCGACCACCTGAAAGCGGAAACGGCCGGGACTCGGAGGATCACGGTCTAGATTTTCCTCGTTCACGACCAAGACCCCGGACGGATCGATCGCGAAGTAGTTCGTAGTCAGCTCGAACGTGTACGTCGGTTTCGGATCGTCAGGTCCCTGAATAAAAATGTTCACTCGAATGAAATAACATCGGATCGATGAAATCGATATAATAATATAATCAGTTCCGCCGCACACGACAGATCTCAACTTGTTGGACAATAGGCGAAATTAAACGGTCGATTCACACTTCGGTCACGCTTCGCCGAGTAGAAATAGATAGAGAATCTAGTCTCTCTCGCGCGGGTCGGTACTACTCACCAGATCAGCATCCGACACGGTGAGCACAATGGGATTTCCACTTTCGTCGATGACCTTTGTGCCAACCGGTGCGTTCTCGTCGACGAATCCTTTGATATTTGACGCCGTGATAACAGGCGAATTGCTGTCGACCGGCTTGACCGTGATCGTTAACTTGGCGGTGGTCGATCGCATCGCTTCCGACGCCTCGACCGCCTTGAAGAGACAAAACAAAAAAAGAAATTTATCATACGATCCGTTTCCTCTTTGTAGAAAAAAAAAAACGCCGATATATTTTTATTTACCTTAATAATAATATCGAACTTCTTTGTGACCGTCGTATCGACGGCTCTGATCTGCCTCACCGCCCCGGTGGTCGGATTGATCTCAAAGAAATCCCGGTAATTCGGCGGATTTCCGCTGAGAAAGGAATAGTGAATCGGCGCGTTTATGCTGTCCATGTCGACCGCCTGTATTTTCTCAGGCGAGATATTGAGTATACCGGATAGCACTCCGCTCGATACCTGACGGGGAGAGAAAGAGATCAGAAAAAAAAAAAAATAATAATAAAGGATTATCGCGCACTCCGCACAGAACCGGTTGCGCGCGATTTATCGGCGAACCGAACGTGAATTTGAGTTATCGCGCCGAGCGGCTGATTATTGCGCGCGCGCGCGCGTGCGATCTCATTGCGCTTTGAATTTTCCAATTTTGTAAATTCGCAAAGAAAGGAACAAAGCGCGCGTTTGTCAAAATAATCCCCGGTCATATTTGTTTGTCACCGCGCAGGTGATTTATGATTCGATTTACTTACCGAGGCGGAGTATTCCGGATTAATGCAGGCGCCGTCCAAGAGCATGCAGCCTTGATAGATAAAAGACGGGTCCTGATCGTCGTCGTCCCGGATGTTCACCGTCAGCGTGGTCGTTGACGTGAATCTCTCGGATACGTTCAGCGCTCGATCCTGCAAGTGGAAACAATTTTGCGAACGTTAAGCGCGTCGACGTTCTGAGACAGCGTGGAAAATCCTCACGCGGAAGAGACACAAACGAGGCGGCTCGTTTCACTCAGTCGCGACTCTAGCTCCGTTTGTTTACCCGAATATCAAGGGAGTACAAAAATTACAGCGTGTCTCCGATAAACTTGTTCTCTTCGATTCTCACAAGAAAAACACAAGTGATCAAATATTAATAAAAACGTCCTTGTTTATTTCTTTTTTTTTGCTCCTGCTTGTGTGAAGAAGACAGATGGCGGCAACATTGGTCTCGCGATTTTGATGCGTCACGATCCACCTGGACATTTTCAATAATCCTATCACGAAAAGAAACAAGCGTGTTTTTCTTTCCTCGCGTCGCGATTCAGTATCAGTTTCCGTCATCGCCTCGGGGAAGAAACTTCGTTCCCTTCTCTTCTTGTTTCTTCCGTTCTCTTTTGTGACCGTATTTGTGCGATAACGGGCCTGAGCTGCTTATACGAGAGATTCTGTGAATAAAGATTCGTCGACGTTTGCAACTTTTCTTCGTGTCAGTGAGATTGCGGGACCGACGAAAGAGTCTCCGGAATCACAACGAAAGACGGATCTCTCGAAGTGATTCGTTACGATTCGATTTTCTCGCGAAAATCTCTCTTTAAAAAAAAAAAAAAAAAAAAAACAAAGATCTTTCAAATTTGATACCTCTTTGTAATAAAACGCGCGCGTCCCTTTATTCATATTACAAGAAACGTAGTTCAAAATTCTTCACGCCTTAAAATTTTTCCCGACTGAATTTTGCGCGCTGAAACCAGAGCGCGAGGAAGCCGAGAGACAGAGAGAAAAAAAAACGTAATTTACATATTGCTACCGTCAGTTTTATGGAAAGCTTGCGCGATTTCAATTCGACGCTCTCGACATAAATTTTCCGTGAAACATTTAAGAATGTTAACCTCGCGTATGAATCATGCGCGAGCTCATACATTCGAGGCACCGACGCGGAACGCGTTATCCCTCGTGGCGGATAAGGTCCCCCCCCGCGCTGAAAGGGAGCAGCGTGTACGAGAGAGCAGAAGTCGGTCATTTGTTCCACATAATATTCAAATGAGCCGCACCTGCCGCAGAGCGAGCTGCCGAGGTTTAATCCGAATCGCCAGTAAGAGAGCGAGATCGATCGGCGTCCTCGACTCCGGGAGATTCACCGCGATTATCCGAGGCCGTGCCCGATTTATCTCTCCGTGGCTGGAGGGAGAAGAGATGCCGGGCATCGTAACTATTACCCTCGGCCACGTTGTGTACAAGAGGTCCAAGAAGGCGCGTCCCGTACTCCCCAAGAGTAATAACGGACGGTCGCGCCGCGCACCGTCCATTTTATCATTTTTTTTTTTTTTTTTTGCTTTCGTCTCGCTTACGGGAACACCGTCGGAGATCGTTTAATGACATCGCCCCCCCGCGTCCGTATTCAATCGTATTTTTCTACCGTCGTTCGATTGCGTACCTCGGCGCGCGTACGCGCGCAATTTCGAGCGTTCGCGAGATTGCAGCGGAGCTGATGCCGACGACGAGAGGGTATGTATACAAGCGACGGCCGGAGTATATTGACGCAATGAATAACGCGTCTCGAACTTGTGGTCACAGGTTATAGCAAGAGAGATGCGCGTTAATACATCTCGACATACACACATATACAATATATATATATATATATATGTACATACACGTTGTGTGTGTGTGTGTATATATATATATATATGTAATCCATCTTGGCGTCTAGAAACGCGATGAGAAGCAGATCTCTTCACGGTGCAGTTTCTCGCGCGCGATCTAAGTCAACGTTCGAATTGAATTCAGACACGTATTGCGTGCTGTAACGTACATAGATTTTACTCAACAAAAATCGACAATATTATATACACAACAAAAAGAATTTTATTTAAAAATTGTTTTTATTAAAAATTTTATTTCATGGTTTAAATAATCTTATCCTGTCTACTTTCAAGGTGAAATAAAAATTTCATCTCACGTCATGTGTTTTATTTAGAAAGACAATCGCGAGCCGCGAAATGTTGGTGTGTGTCTTCCATCGGTAGCTTAATATAGAAAGAACACGCGGTAACGCGCGACAGGAATGGATAATAACTTAATAGAATCGATTCCGAGAAGAAGTCGCTTAAGGCGACGGCTAATTGATTGGTTGCAAGAAGCTACGATCGAAGGCGGATCTAAAACTAACGAGAGGACGAGAGCTGCCTATTGTGAAGACTCCCTTTCGCAACTTTTTGCAAAGCTCGTGCTTTAGCTCGGTCCGAAGGCAACCTGGATAATTGTTGCGATTCAGCGAGGTCCCTTTTGTACGTTAGAAAAAGCATTTATTTTGTTTCTGTGTTTCTATATTTGACAAAAGACTGATTAAAAGACTTTTCTTTTACTTTTAAAGCGTGGGCTGGTTTTCGGCGCTCCGAAAAGGACGATTCACTCACCGTTGACAAATCGCCAATGCCATCGCCAATGCTGTCGCTGACACTCGGACTGACGTGTATTAAGGCAAAAGCCAGAAACGCTTTTAACGGCCCGAGAAGTTCCATTGTCGGTCTCGCAGGACGAGTCACGGTTTGTCGACGATGCGTCTCGAATCCCATATACGTCGTCGCATCCTCTCGCTTACAGACGTCGTCGCCGAGAAATCAATTGAAACGTCGTCGTTGTCACCCGATGAAGAGAGTTCTTTCTTTTTTTTTTTTTCGGCAAACGAAAGGTGTCGCGTAAGACGCTTCTCGTTTCGAGCGAAATCCAAACGAAATCTCGACGAGAAACGTCGACGCGGCCAATAAAGCGCGAGACAAGGTGCGCCTCCCTTCGCTATGTATCGTCCCACATGTGATTCCTGCCGATCGTCAAGAGCTCCGCACGGACGTCTTATAACGCGCGCGCCGTTAACTGCGCGCTCGTTAAGTTACGGCATTCCTACGGAGCTCGTATAAATCATGCGTCTTTTAATCGCCGGCCGGTCGACATACCTCAGGCCGTTTGTGTGCGCCTCTCGCGAGTCGTTCGAGATCCCTACATCAAGCGGACGCCGAGAGTAAACCGAGAAATTAGCGATTAAACGTTTTTCTCGACGATACGCCGCGAAACTGCGGCCGAGCTAATATCAAGCCGCGGAAATTTCACGAAAAAGCGCGAGCGTAACAAACTAGGTGACGTGGATTTTTGTTTTCTGTTTTTTTGTTTTGTTTTTTTTTTTTGACGTATTTATATCCAGCGTAGAAAATTACAACCCGTCTATTACAACGAGAAAAATGTCGCGGTCGACATTTTAATATCTTCGTTCATTATATTTAGTAGACACTATATATATATATATTTATTTATTTTATTATGTTTTTCTTGTTATAATGCGCCGTAATGTTGCGGACAACGAGAGGATTACGAGTAAGATATCAAAGTCAGCGACAAGTCGCTCGCCTTATTACGAGAGAATCGTTCCGATAAAACGCGCGACGCGCAAATTCGACGAGCTCCATTTATTGGCGGCGCGATCCGCGTTTTACGTTTCAACGCGGTTTTAACTTTTCGTCGCGGCGCGTCATCGCGCGCTCGCGGCCGTGTGTTTTACGTAACGTCACAGATTATTCACGTCGGAGGCCGGACGGTTACGGAACGTTGTCACGCGGGATCATCGGCGGACATCGTCGGCGACGGAGTTCCGTTGTTTCTCGCGTTCCGCGTTCGCCATTGCAAAATGCGTTTCTCTCGGACCGAAGTCGATCGTGCGTGATGCGAATCGGCGACGAAATCGGTACCTTCGCGAATTTCCTTACCGGAAACGCTCGCGATCTGCATGTACATTGGTTTTCTTCCGTTCGATAAAATCACCGTTGCGGATCGGCGCGAGAGATAGCCGCCGTGTAAAATTTCGCGAAACCGCGCAAAACGCCGCCGAGGTTCTTCTGCCGAGCGTTCCAACGCGCCGATTGAACCGAGTCACATCGATATACAATATTCAAAACCGATATCGGCAAGTTGCTGAAGGCGGAAAACAACCGATCTGTAATCAGCGTTTCGCGATGCGCGCGCTCTTTACTCCTCGCGAGGAGTGTTGTTCCGGAAGTTGCTCGCTTCCTCTCTCACATGCAAATCGCAGTCTATTATCGTTTCGCAGCGTATACGTAAGTACCGTATTTCTCGTACTGCACTGCGAAACCACGAATGTCCCGATGTGCCGCGGTGTTCAATTTTCAGCGCGTTAACGCGCACTTCGGTCGGGTTTTTGCGACAACCTTCCCATTCGATGAAATCTCTATAATATTTTCTTTTTGCTAATAAAAACAAATGCGCGCCTACGCGCGCGATATAACGGTAGAATTGAGATTTTTCTCTATCACGGCGTTTCTCTCTTTGCCACTCGCTTTTCCCATTTCTCGCCGAGGACTTGTCCACCTACGCCCGATGGCGCACGATACACCCGAGGAAGCGCCTCACGGCCACCTTTTAATAAACGTTCTCGCTTTGACAAACGTTCGCGCATCCCTCTTCGCATCGCCCGTCATTTATCTGCCGCCTTGATGCGAAGAAAGAATTCGCGCACGAGCGAACCGTTATTAGATATTATATATGTGCGCGCGTATGTAACGTTACGTTCTTACGACCAATCCCGTAAGCGACCGTTTTATATTATTTCGTCGCGCTCGTTAAGAAGTTCTCTTAATGGCGTAATAACCATAAGTGCTGCATTAATTATCTCGCGCATATAATTCTTTTTGTTTTATTACGTTGTGTTTTTTTTTTCTTTTCAATTTTAATTACGACCGTACGCGGAATTTTAACGCGAAGAACCGCGCGAGAGAGAACTTCCTCGTAACTGCAGCTTGACACGATGCGACGCAATAATATAATAACGACACTCACCGCGGCGTTGACAAGACACGTATCAATTTTCGTCGAATGACATTCGCGTGATTTATTACATCGCGACAATCGGCGCGACAAAGAAGTTCGCCGTATCTTTTTTTTTTTTTTTTTTTCACGGACGCGATCGTCGTCGGACTCTCGCGCGCGTCGATCACTGCGCAATATTGAAATCCGCGCATTGGAAACGATTATATACACCATTGACATCTTTGCTGTCTTCATACATCATATACATCCCGAGGGGGATCATTTCCCTTATTTCGCGGGATCACCCGCGTCCGAAGGATTCGACGCGGCGCGTTAGACGCGGGAGATCGGCCACGTCGGCAAATCGACGACACGCGGGGAAATCGAAATTCCGTGCCTGTGCGTTACACGTCGCGAAGCCGAACGGTGACTAATGCACCGGCGAGTAGTCTCTCCTCGCGCCGAAGTCGTTCTCCTACCTCAATAACGTCGTATACCAACGTCTGTCTCACGTGCACGCGGCATGCACCGCGCGATGCATATAAGTCCGCGTATCCACACTACTGCCCACCTTGCGTCGTACTAGAATAATACCTCTTCGCGTAATTTCCTTTGTTCGACGAGGCCCACGTTTTACGCGAAACTGTGCCGCGCTCACGTAGAGATAAGATTAGAAAGATGAGCGAGGACGAGGCGAGCGCGTTAACGCGCGTGGAAAACCGCCGCGCGATAATCGACGCTCGTGAAACTTGGACTGTTTCAAAGAATTGTTTCTCTCCGCGCGTGTTATTGATATTCGTATATAGGCGCGATGATATTTTTGCTTCAATTAAAACATTGCTCTTAATTATAGGATAATTCCGATGCGCTAATTGTATCGCACGCGTGATCAAAGATTGTCGAGCGTCTTAACACGTTGAACGACGCTACGCCACGCCGCGTTTGTGACGTTGGTTTTATCCAAATCAAACAAATTTTTACAGAAGAGAATTTGCAAACAATTGTTTATTATATTGAATAGAAAGTAACAATTTAAATATATATTGCGCAATTTACATACTGCAAGACTAATGATTCGGAACCTCGCAGGAATCATATGCGATTTCTATTGGACATTCAACGTGTTAATTAAAAAGAATTTCAAAAATTTATAAACCAAAGGTTTTTCACGTTGAAAATATGAATATTAATAACACACGCGAAGTCGACTCTTTCTCTCTCTCTCTCTAATTTATGAAGCTGAATGCATTTGAATAGGCACAGCCGCAACCGCATTTGGTCGGCGCCACAACCAAAAATACGTTTCGCAACCGAGATCATAACTCTCTCATCTCACGCACGCGTTAACACACAAATAACGAAACGCGCGCTCGTCGTGTTTATTTTCGCAAATGAGAACGTACACGCGAGAATGCCGTTGCGGATTTTATTAAAACGAAACAGAGCAAACGACTTCGAGAATTGTACGTCAGGAGCGACTTGACTTTGTTGAGATTTACATTTCGCGGAGTCGCTTTCGCGAATAAGCGCTCTCGTGCCGGAAAATATATATAATTCTCAATGCGAACCACAACCATCGAGCGTGACACAAGTAATCGGCAATGAGAAGTGCCGTCGCAAAGAGACAGAGAGAAAGAGAGCAAATAAACGGCGCTCGTTGTACAGTTATTTAAGTATTGTTCTGCTGCGCGCATACGCGCGACGCGGATTTGACATTTTACGCCGCGCTTCCTGATTATATTATCATAACGAATGTGAACACGCGCACCTTATGTACATTACATACGTACGTAGGTAGGTAGCGCGTTGCATTGCGGTCCGCGACGATTCGTCACGGCGATCGAACAATAATCGCGTTGCAATAAGCGTGGGTGTTTCGGTACGGCAATATTCGCTAATGAGCACCTTGCTTTCACCGCTCGCGCGGACTGAGAGATTACGAGAGATTACGCGAAAGCATTTAAAAAAGTTGCGTCACACGCTCGCTAAATTGTCCGCGCGCGCACACATTCAATTTGTCTGTTACAAATTTATATCTATATTACAAATTTATCTATATTCTCTAATTTTTCACACGTTCGAGCAAACTTCGGAGTCGCGCGACTCTGAAAAGACTCACAAAAAATAAATAATACAACAAAAACGTTTACTGTGTTTAAATTTATTCAATTAAATTTAATAATATTACGTTGTCAGCTGTTGATGCTCTGATTGCTAATTTGACGTTTCAATCTGCCAAATAACGTAAGTGTTTACGATTGCGCAAATGAGCCGTGTGCGTACGTGTCACGTAATGTTATCTCTGTTATTTCGACCCGATTTTCGTCAGCGGAACCATTGACATGCACAATTTGTAGACTCTAATTTGCAAGTACTACAATCCGTGTGTGTGTGTGTGTGTGTGTGTGTGTGTGTGCGTGTGTGTGTATCCTATCGAAGCAAACAATGTCGGGGTTTGGCAGAGGCGATATGCAAATAGGTACAAGCGCGCGCGCGCGCGCGTGCACGGCTCGTCGATCGCACCAGTCTCTCTAATCCGACGGACGGAGAGGTCTCTAAATCGTGCGCGAGCGAGCCGAACGGTTTTAATGCCTTACGGTACACCGCGAACGATACGTTATATCGTATGCGTATCAAATGGAAAAGATTGTTGCTCGGTCTGCGATGTTACCGTTACGCGAGCGTGAACGCGCGCGCGCGATCTGTTCGCTGTTTCGCGTTCGTTGAAGTCTTGCTCTGACCGCGAGATATTGCGCGCGCGCGAGAAACTTCGCATCGCAATATCGCTCGGCGTCTGTCCGTCTCATTCCCGGATCAACGTCGCGGCATCACACAGCCGGAGTTTGTTATCTCGTGCGGCTGCTTGATTGGATTAGAGATCGCAATATGCCTATCAAACAGCTACTGTTGCGCGGAGAATATGTAGATTGTAGCTCGTGTACTTGTTGCACGTTTCGCTCCGGATGAATTCGGTGGATGAATTCCCACCTGGGGAGCGTCTTCTTTAAAATTAAAACAAGCGCGAAACGGACTGTTATCTTCGTAGTTTTCTCTCTTTCTTTAAGATTGACCGTTTTAATTATTTGCGCGTAAAAAAAAAAAAAAAACACCTATGTCCGATCTTGAATGGAAGAAGGAATGCAGAAACTCTCTTGAAAACAACTTTGCAATTTCACGGAGTCGCGCGCGCGTATCGTCGATTATCATCTAAGCAACATTCGCACACCGTACACGCGTACATTTTTTTGAAAATCACAAAAAATACTTTCACGCACGATAAGCTCGCAGATGTGAGATTGATGGGAGCAATTAATTATTTCGACGTAAATAATCTAAAACCGAGCGCGTGACCGTAATTAACGACTTGTTCGTTGCGCGCGCGCGCGCGCGCCGTTTGCGCGCTTGCGCGAAACCGCAAAATCGATTAGCACCATTAAAATCATTAGACGTAGAAAAAGGGCGAACACGCATCCTATCCCCCGATCCGTGGATGGCGTTGGTCGCCGGCATCGTCGGGTTTGTAATACCGTTTGGTGAATGCCTTACGCCTGCGCGCGAGCTTGTACGTATATCAGTTTCTAATCTGCGACAGAGCACGCAGGACGTGTTTCTCGCGTATATACGCGAGGATCGTGTGTGTGTGTGTGTGTGTGCACGTAACGAAGCGTGTGCATACGTTTATCGTACGCTCGCATGTAATTATGCGCGTGCGCGCACACGCGCGAATGTCCGGAGAATCTCCGGAATTATTGCGATATGTTCACATGAGAACTACGCCGAGAGATAACCCTTTATAAGATAATATAAATGAGCAGATTCAGAAATACTGCTATAATGAATGTTGCGTTCCATTGCGTTTACTATGTTTTTCTTGCGAACGACAACAGCTGAAAAGTTGTACCGTAAGCAATATCGCAAGCTTCGACGGAATATATATCTCCTTTTGATTTTTAAAAGAAAGAGCAGATCTTACTATATGAATGCAAAAATTAATTTAAAACACTCCCTCACTTTTTCAAACAATTGTAAAATATTAGATTGTTTGTGGAAAATTCGCAGCTTTTGTTATAGAAAAAGACAAAATTGAGAGCAACTCATTACGCGACACATTACACGAGACGTTGCAGTAAAAAAATAAACATTGGAAACATTGTTACAAAACAACGATATTGTATATTACTGAACAAAGCTTTCTGAACAACAACTCGATATAGTTCGCTCGAATGTTTCGCAAGTATTTGCCCACAGGACACGTCTGTAAATTGTCCTTGTCTCTGCAAACGGTCTCCGTTGCTCGAGACAAGCTCGCGAGGGATTAAAAAAAAAAAAAAAAAAAAAAAAAAAAAATCAAGACTGAAACGCCACGAAACGTCGTCGCGAGAGACGATTTCGTCGAAACAAGTTTCGAGGTTTGGAGGCCTCGGGGCTAATGGCAATCAAGAGAACGAGAAACCGCGCGTGAAAGGGAGTGTGCGATATGCTAATGCAAATATGGTTTTCCCCGTGTGCGTCGCCGCACAAGATATCTCGCGTCGTTTGTGACTCATCGATTCCTTCGCGTTCTGTGTCCTCATCCCCCGGCCTACACACGAACCTGACCATTGGCCATCCCACATCCTGCCGTTTCGCATTTATCCGCGCTTATCCGCGACGTATTAAATTAAGGAAACACGCGCGTTTGTAAACGATTAACTTACACGCGCGTGTGTTCGCGAATTACAAGACTTTGCGGGCTGTAAGAACAAGAAGAACGGGCCGGTAAAATAAAATCGATGCCGCGCGGAACATGGAAAGAGAGAGATTCATCTTCCTGACCAAGTTGGGGAAAAAAAAAATACTCTCGCGCCAAGCGTTGCACAACGTTTTATTATATATGCGCAAAAGCATTATGCAACGGCTGATTGAAAGCGCAATGTCGAGAATAGTTTGCGATTCGCTCGACAGGTGTATAAGAAAACGTTACGTAACGTATCGTCTTGACGATACGTGAGGGAGAGAAATATTTGTATTTATTAAAATTTATAAAAAAAAAAAAAAAGATTATTTTTGCGTCTCGCGCATTGTCAACGAACCAATTAAATGTTCGTCCATGATTTTTGAAGATAATATTGTTTTTTTCGTTACTTGCAACATTTTTTAAAACCGTGTTTTTTTTCGGAACATCGAGATTTTTTAAACGAAAATTTATGTTTTTTTTTCTAGAATAAATATTGAGAGCAACATCGACATTTTTTGATCCGAATCTGTGTTTTAAAATATCGCCAGAAATAATTTGTAGGAATGAGCGTTAGCACACCGATTACCGTTAGGTTTCTCCGTCATTCGCGCGAGAGAATTTTCCACGGTCGCGTCGTGCAGGTTTTCAGTTCGGTGTCGCGCAGCGTATGTCGCCGGCCGACGCTCATTATGC